TCGATCACGCGACCACGGGGATGCCGCAAAGGTCGTAACTGTGGAAAAACCAATTCCAAGTCCCATTTTTTTTCAGTGTCGTTGAACGGTCACTAAATGAACCGTCGTAAGTGGAGGATTACCTGTAAGTGACCCTCTCCAGCCTTTGCTTTTGGAGAAGGGTCCCACAAAGGAGTTTTCAAAAGGAACCGAAGAAGCTTCTCAGGGTGAGAAGTGAAACATTTTCCAAGGGAAGAAAAAAAAAAAAACCCGAAAAAGTCAATTTGTCTTTTGGAAAAAGCTTTTGGGACGAACGAACATTTATTTATTTATTTATTTATTTATTTATTTATTTATTTATTTATTTATTTATTTATTTATTTATTATTTATTTATTATTTATTTATTTATTTATTTATTTTTCGTATTACTATGCCGCCTATCACCTGAAGATGGAGAATCTCCATGGGGAGATTTCGCAGAAGGGGTTTGCTTCCAAGCAGGGTGGATAAAAATCAATGATTTTTTTAAAAAAATCAAAAAAATCAGATTTTTTAAAATTTAAATCGGATTTTTTTGATTTAAATCGGATTTTTTTGATTTTGATCGAATTTATTTTAATAAAAAACTTTTGGGGTAAAAATCTATCGTAAGATAGTTTTCTATATAAGATACATAAATAATTTAGTTTATTCAGCATGAAATGGAGCTTAGTTATGTAGCAGGAGGCTGTATATTCTGCAACACTGGGACTATCGGTGAGTCAACGGTGGGTCAAAGGAGGAGCAGAGATGACAGTTGCTCTTTAAAACTTACGATTTAAATCGAGTTGATTGAAATCAAGCTTTTTACTAGGGATTTAAATCTTGATTTAAATTGTGATTTAAATCCACTCGATTTAAATCAAATCCACCCTGCTTCCAAGCGACTGCAACGGCGAGATTGCACAAATTGGAGGTTTTTAAGTCAGCTGCCTCTGGAATGTTAGATTAGATCTTAACAGAGTTGGAAGGGACCTCGTAGGTCATCTAGTCCAACCCCAAGCAGGAGACCCTACACCATTTCCGGCAAATGGCAGTCCAGTCTCTTCCCGAAAGCCTCCAGTGATGAAGCTCCCACAAAAGTATAGTTTGGTTTTCCTGCAGAGTGGAGTCCTGGATTCCCAGTTGCCTTTAACCCCCATCATGCTGGGAATGTTAAGACATCTAAGACGCCAATGCAAAAGCATTGGCATAGATGAGGGGGGGGGGTCTTCAGGGGGTGCCCTGTGAGAACAGGCTGAAGGTCTCTGGAGGTTCTCCGCCATCCAGATCATGGTTGTCCCAAAGGGCCTTTTTTTTTCCCCCCCAAGACTTTCTGGTTTTTCTTTGAAGACGTTTCACTTCTCCTCCAAGAAGCTTCTTCAGTTCTGACTGGATGGTGGAGGATGGAAGGATTTATATTCCTTGCAGAGACAGCTGGTCATTTGCATCATTTTAGAGAGTCATTGAGGCCACTTGGAGGTTTCTCTGTAAATCCTTCCATTCCCCCCACCCTCCCACCCCATCATTCAGTCAGAGTTGAAGAAGCTTCTTGGATGAGAAGCGAAATGTCTTCAAAGAAAAAAAAAATAGAAAGTCCAGTTGCCTCCTGAAAAGAAGCACTTTTGGGGCAACAGGCTGAAGGGGATTCAGTGGGGAGAAGAGGGGATGGAAGGGAGGCCTTGAGAGATCCCTTTGGGTGCAGGAAGAGCCTTAAGCCAGAAACCAGGAGATGGGAGTTCTAGTCCTGCCTTAGGCGTGAAAGCCGGATGGGCGACTTTGGGTCAGTCACTCTTATCGCAGCCCAACCCAGCTGATAGGTTGGTGGTGGTTGTGGGGAAAAGAGGAGGAAAGAAAAGGAGGGAGGGAAGGAGGTGAAAGGGAGAAAAGGAAGGAGGAAAGAAGGAAGGGGGAGAGCAGTAAGAAAAGAAAGGGAGGGAGAAAAGAAAAGGAGGGAGGGAGGGAGGACAACAGGAGAAAGGAAGGAAAATGTAGGGGAGAGAGAGAGGGAGGAGAAAGGGAGGAAGGAATGAAAACAGAAGGAAGGAGAAAGGAAGGAGAGTAAGGAATGAGAAAAGGAGGAAAGGAGGGAGGGAGGAAGGAAGAAGAACGGGGAAAGGAAGGAGAATGGGAGGGAGGGAGGAGAAAGAGGGAGGAATGAGGAAGGGAGGGAGGAAATGAGAAAAGGAGGGAGGGAGCAAGGAGGGGAAAGGGAGAAGAACGGAAGGGAAAGAGGGAAGGAGGAGAAAGGAATGAGAAAAGAAGGGAGGAAGGAAGAAGAACAGGAGAATGGGAGGGGGAGGGAGGAGAAAGAGAGGGAGGAATGAGGAAGGAAGGAAGGAAAGGAGAAAAGGAGGGAGAGAGCAAGGAGGGAAGGAGAAAGGGAGGAAGGAATGAGAGAAGGAAGAAGAGATGGAGCAAGGAAGGAAAGAGTAAGGATGGAGGAAAGGCAGAAAAGAGGGAGGAAGGAAGGAAGAACAAGAGAAAGGAAGGAGAATGGAAGGGAGAGCGGGAAGGAGGCGGCAGGAATGAGAAAAGAAGGGAGGAAGGAAGGAAGAACAGGAGAATGGGAGGGGGGGAGAGGAGAAAGGGAGGAATGAGGAAGGAAAGGAGAAAAGGAGGGAGGGAGCAAGGAGGGAAGGAGAAAGGGAGGAGAACGGAAGGGAAAGAGGGAGGGAGGAGAAAGGGAGGAAGGAATGAGAAAAGGAAGACGAGAGGGAGCAAGGAAGGAAAGAGTAAGGATGGAGGAAAGGCGGAAAAGAGGGAGGAAGGAAGGAAGAGCAAGAGAAAGGAAGGAGAATGGAAGGGAGAGCGGGAAGGAGGAGGAAGGAATGAGAAAAGGAGGGAGGAATGAAAACAGAAGGAAGGGGGAGAAAGGAAGGAGAGTAAGGAATGAGGAAAGGAGGAAAAGAGGGAGAAAAGAAGGAAGGAAGGAAGAACAAGAGAAAAGGAAGGCGAATGGAAGGGAGAGAGAGAGGGAGGGAGGAGAAAGGAATGAGAAAAGAAGGGAGGAAGGAAGAAGAACAGGAGAATGGGAGGGGGAGGGAGGAGAAAGAGAGGGAGGAATGAGGAAGGAAGGAAGGAAAGGAGAAAAGGAGGGAGAGAGCAAGGAGGGAAGGAGAAAGGGAGGAAGGAATGAGAGAAGGAAGAAGAGATGGAGCAAGGAAGGAAAGAGTAAGGATGGAGGAAAGGCAGAAAAGAGGGAGGAAGGAAGGAAGAACAAGAGAAAGGAAGGAGAATGGAAGGGAGAGCGGGAAGGAGGCGGCAGGAATGAGAAAAGAAGGGAGGAAGGAAGGAAGAACAGGAGAATGGGAGGGGGGAGGGAGGAGAAAGGGAGGAATGAGGAAGGAAAGGAGAAAAGGAGGGAGGGAGCAAGGAGGGAAGGAGAAAGGGAGGAGAACGGAAGGGAAAGAGGGAGGGAGGAGAAAGGGAGGAAGGAATGAGAAAAGGAAGACGAGAGGGAGCAAGGAAGGAAAGAGTAAGGATGGAGGAAAGGCGGAAAAGAGGGAGGAAGGAAGGAAGAGCAAGAGAAAGGAAGGAGAATGGAAGGGAGAGCGGGAAGGAGGAGGAAGGAATGAGAAAAGGAGGGAGGAATGAAAACAGAAGGAAGGGGGAGAAAGGAAGGAGAGTAAGGAATGAGAAAAGGAGGAAAAGAGGGAGGGAGGAAGGAAGAACAGGAGAAAAGGAAGGAGAATGGAAGGGAGAGAGGGAGGGAGGAGAAAGGAATGAGAAAAAAAGGGAGGGAGGGAGGAGAAAAGGAGGAAGGGAGGGAGCAAGGAAGGAAGGAGTAAGGGTCGAGGAAAGGTGGAAAAGAGGGAGGAAGGAAGGAAGAACAGGAGAAAAGGAAGGAGAATGGAAGGGAGGAGAAAGGAATGAGAAAAGAAGGGAGGAAGGAATGAGAACAGGAGGAAAGGAAGAGAAAAGGAGGGAGTAAAAGGAGAAGGAATGAGAAAAGGAAGAAGAGAGGGAGCAAGGAAGGAAAGAGTAAGGATGGAGAAAAGGAGGAAAAGAGGGAAGAAGGAAGGAAGGAAGAACAAGAGAAAAGGAAGGAGAATGGAAGGGAGAGAGGGAGGGAGGGAGGAGAAAGGAATGAGAAAAGGAGGGAGGAATGAAAACAGAAGGAAGGGGGAGAAAGGAAGGAGAGTAAGGAATGAGAAAAGGAGGAAAAGAGGGAAGAAGGAAGGAAGGAAGAACAGGAGAAAAGGAAGGAGAATGGAAGGGAGGGAGGAGAAAGGAATGAGAAAAAAAGGGAGGAAGGAATGAGAACAGAGAAAAGGAGGGAGTAAAGGGAGCCGGAAGAAGGAAAGGGAGGGAGGAAGAACAGGAGAAAAGAAGGAGAACGGAAGGGAGGGAGGGAGCAATGAGAAAAGGAAAAAGAAAGGAGAACGGGAGGAAAGAAAGAAAGAAAGAAAGAAAGAAAGAAAGAAAGAAAGAAAGAAAGAAAGAAAGAAGAAAAGGAAGGAAGGAAGGACCTCCAAAGAAAGCGGGAGGGAAAACGCCCCTCCTCCCATGCCCGGAGCGGACTTTCAGACGAAATTTGGACTTTCACTCTACCTGACTAAATCACAAAAAAAAAAAAAAGAGGCCGGACTTTTTAAAAACTCTTTTAAAACTTGCCGAGCGTGAGAAACCGGCTTCCTGGGAGGGTCGCGGGAGATTTTGGGGGGGAAGGGGGGGGGCTCCCTTCTCCGGTCACTTCCACGGACGCCTTGCTCTGCCACGCCCTTCTCCCCCCCACCCACCCACCCCCACACACGCGTGGACCACGCCCGCGCGCCAGAAAGGCTGACACGTGTATTCAGGTCGTGGGAACGGACTCGCGGGAAAGGAAGGAAAGAAGGAAGGAAGGGAGTCACGGTGGAATGAACCCGAAAAACAAGGATCCGTCCTCCCTTCTGCACCCCCCCACCCCCTTGGACTCCAATGCCCATCATCCCCTGCGGGACGGCCGGCCGCGGAGGATGGGCTTTGTAGTCCCGCGTGGGAACTTTGCGGGCTTACCACCACGGCCGTGACGGGCTGGCCCGGGATGTAGGACATGGCTCCGGGAGTCGCCGCCGCCGCCGCCAATGAAGCCGCTGCGGTCGCTTCGCCTCCGGCGGAACAAAAGCGGAGAGAGCTGGGCGGCGAAGCTCCGCCCCTTTCCTCCTCGAGGCCACGCCCACCGCCCTGTCAGGCCGCGCCCCCTTCTCTCCCCCGCGCGCCTGGCCTTTTTTTTTTCTTTCTTCCCCTGGCCACGCCCCCTTCTCACTAGTCCTCCTCCAGCCTATCCTGGGAGAGGGGAGGGGTTTTTGCCAAAGTGGGCGTGGCCGAAGCCTTTCCTTTCGGGACGTGTCCACAAGGGCGGGTGCGGAGAGGCGCTCTCTCTTTCCGTCTCTATAGCCTCGGAAGCGAGGGGAAGGGGGGGAGTCCTCCAGACTCTATGGAAGACGCGCGGGAAAGGAGAGGCTTCTGCGTGACGTCGGCAGCGTGGGACGCCGTCGCTCCCAGAACCCTTTCCGATCCAAGATGGCGGCGGCTGCCTTTTTGCGGTGAGGTCGGCTGAGGCGAAAGCTGAGGGGAGAAAACACGTAAGGAGGTAAGAAGGATTTTGGGGTTTAAGTAGGTAGGGAAAAAAAAAGACGCTTAGAAACTCGCCCTGCTTTTTAAAATTTCTATTAAAGGAGGTCGGTTTTGAGGTCGTCCCTGAGAACTTTCTCACGTGTGTGACGTCATTACAGGGGTGTGACGTCATTTCACGGGCCTTAAAAAGGGGGGGTCTGGTTTGGGCACACATGTGGGGGGGGCTTCTCTGCCTTTAAATAAGATATTTAATTGTACCCTTTGCATTTTATGCTACTGGACGGGTAGTCCTCAACTTACGACCACAATGGTGCCCAGAATTTCACTTGCTATGCGAGGCAGTTGTTGAACTCTGCTTTGCTCCACTTTACGACCGTTGCCACGGTCATTAAGTCAGTATTTCTCAACCTTAGCCATTTTAAGATATATGGACTTCATCTGGAATGAGCTCCCCCCCCCCCCGGGAGATACGGAGGATCCCAGATTTACGCACTTTCCGCCGCACCCTCAAAACATTTTTATTCCAGCAGGCTGGTCTGGCTTGACTCTCCCTTTTAATTTGCTTTTAAGTTTTATACAAATTGGGTGTTTTTAAATTCGTTTTTTGGGGGGCCAAAATTATTTAATGTCCTTCGGGAGTAGGGCGGTATACAAATATGAAAAATAAATAAATAAATAAATAAATAAATAAATAAATAATGTACTTTTAAATAGTTTTTAACTTTTGTATGATGTATTTTTATCTTGTGGCTGTTCACCACCCTGAGTCCTTCGGGTGTAGGGCGGTATAGAAATTAAATAAAATAAAAATAAAAATAAATAAACTCCCAGAATTCCCCAAGCAGCAGAGCTGGCTGGGGAATTCTGGGAGTTGAAGTCCACATTTTAAACTCGCTAAGGTTGAGAAATACTGCATTAAGTGAATCGTTGCAGTTGGTGAGACACATGGTTGTTAAGTGAATCCGACTTTCCCCCATTGGCTTTTTTTTTCCCCCCCGACAAGGTCACAAAAGGAGATCACGTGACACCTCCCCCCCCAGGACTCTACAACTCCATCATAAATACGAGTCAGTTGCCAAGCGGCTGAGAATATAAATCATATAAACCGTATGCGTATGGTCATAAGTCACTTTTTTTCAGTGCCGTTGTAACTTCGAACGGTCACTAAGTGAATTGCTGTACGTCATGGACTACCTGTATAAGGAAGACCATTGAGTTGGCATGAAGCAGCCCTGTTGAACTTCTGCCTGTCGGCAGCAGCGTTGGGATCTGACAAATTAAAAATAAATAAATTTATCAGCATGCATCCCCTAGTAGTTTATTCGTTGTATGACAACAGAAAACCAGAGAAAGTGTCTGGACCTTATGTAAACAAACCAGAGGTGGGTTTCAGCAGGTTCTCACCGGTTCTGGAGAACCGGTAGCGGAAATTTTGAGTAGTTCGGAGAACCGGTAGTAAAAATTCTGACTGGCCCTGCCCCCATCTATTCTCTGCCTCCCGAGTCCCAGCTGATTGGGAGGAAATGGGGATTTTGCAGTATCCTTCCCCTGGAGTGGGGAGGGAATGGGGATTTAACAGTATCCTTCCCTTGACACGCCCACCAAGCCATGCCACGCCCACAGAACTGGTAGTAAAAAAAATTGAAAGCCACCACTGAAACAAACCACAATGGTTGAAAGCAAAGGGTTACCTGTATTGATTGATCTCTCTTCATTTCATTTGTTACTGAAAGTAATGGCCACTTAGAAGCTAAGTCAAAAAGGGAGGGCAACTACCTGAAAAACTTACAGCGAAACAGTTCACCTATCCACTGGATTTTAAGCCCCATTACAGGTAGCCGTCAACCAAAATTTGAGCCCAAAATTTCCATTGCTCAACAAGGCAGTTGTTGAGTAAAATTTTTAACCTTTCTTAGGTTTCCTGCCTAAGCAGGGGGTTGGACTAGAAGACCTCCAAGGTCGTCCCTTCCAACTCTGTTATTCTATACTATTCTTGCTACCGTTGTTAAGTGAATCAGTGCAGTTAAGTTTTAGTAACATAGTTGTTTCACTGGCTTTGTTTGTCACAAGGTCCCAAAATGGGACATCAAGACTCTGGGACACTCATAAATATATGCCAAAATTCAGATAAAAATCTGAATTTTGATCGCATGACCCACAGGGATGCTGCAACAGGTTGTAAGTGTGAAGAGCAGTCATAGATCTGGAACGAGCTCCCCCGAGATACGGAGGATCCCCGATCTGTGCACCTTCCACCGCGCTCTTAAGACCTTTTTATTCCACCAGGCAGGCCTGGCCTAACTTTCTCCCTCTTTTTAAATAATTTTTTAATATTTGTAATATTCAAAGTTTAATTGGTTTTAAATTGATTGGTGTTTTTAAATCTGTCTGGACCAAACTATTTAATTCGATTTTATTTCTGCTTTTTAAATTTTGTATGTATGTATTTTATTGTTGGCTGTTCACCGCCCTGAGTCCTTCGGGAGTAGGGCGGTATGTAAATCAAATAAAAGTAAAGTAAAGTAAAATAAGCCACTTTTTTCAATGCTGTTGTAACTTTGAACATTCACTAAATGAATGGCTGTAAGCCAAGGACTACCTATTTATTACACCACATGGGTGGCTTAAAGGAATTGATTGCTTCATCTGTTCTCTACTGTAGTGATAAAGTTGACATAAAGTCCCACTCAGAACAGGTTATGTTACCACAGCCTCTCCAGAATTAAAGCAAATAGTGTCCTAATATTATGGTTCCTGTTTGCTTTAATTTTGGAGAGGCTGCAGTAACGTAAGGAACCAATCCTTTCAAATTGCAGCTGTAGCTTTTCAGCCGAAAGCATGATGTCTATGGAAATTCTCCATCATCCAGGTCGTGGTTGTCCCAAAGGTGCTTTTTTCAAGAGGCAACTGGACTTTCTGATTTTTCTTCACTTCTCATCCTCATCAACTCTGACCTGGATGGTGGGGATTGGCTAAATGAAATCCTTCCATTTCCTACCATCTGGTCAGAGCTGAAGAAGCTTCTTGAATGAGAAGCGAAACATCTTCAAAGAAAAACCAGAAAGTCCATTTGCCTCTTGAAAAAAAAAGCACCTTTGGGACTGATAGCACGATGTTTTCATTAACTGCCTAATGTCAGGATGGTTGTATAGTGCCAGAGTTGAGTAATTATGCAAAATATGTACACAGGTAGTCCTCGACTTACAACTTCAACTGAGCCCCAAATTTCTGTTGTTGTGTGAGACATTTGTTAAGTGAGTTTTGCCCCGTTTTTACGACCTTTCTTGCCACGATTGTTAATCACATTAAGTGAATCACTGGAGTTTTTTAAGTTAGTAGCCCGGTCGTTAAGTGAATCTTGCTTCCCCGTTGACTTTGCTTGTCAGAAAGTTGCAAAAGGGGGTCACATGAAGCTCAGGAACACTGACCGTCATAAATAAGAGTCAGTTGCCAAGCATCTAATTTTTAATCACATCATCATGGGGATGCTTCAAAGGTAAGTGTGAAAAACGGTCATAAATCACTTTTTTTCAGTGCAATTATTCAGGGTGCCATGAGAGAGAAATTTGCAAGCTGCTCAAGGCTCTAAAAAAATCCGGTTTCCTTGAAAATCCCATAAAATCTTTATCTCCTGATAAAGAAATCAAGGTTTAAATCTTTTTGTTAAATATTTGGTTATTGGTCATATTCTTTGGATTTTTCATTCTTTTAACTGTTCTGTGGTTTTAGAATTATAAGTCTCTCGGAGTCACTTGGCTTAGATGGGCAATTATAAAAATTGAATAAATAACTATATAATTTGTCTTTCGCTGAGCGTGAAGCAGCTCAGCGAAATGTTTCTTACTTCTCCCTCCTGTTTTATTTATAATTGTGTCTTCTTTTACTTCGAAAGAGGTCATTTTTTACTTCGAAAACAAATGCACATATTATTTTACCGGTAAGTTCTTTTAAGCGGCTTGCTAATCACCACAGGGCTGTGTTTAATATTAATTTGACAGTTTCTTTGGTCTAGTGCAGTTATGGCTAACCTTTTTGCCATCGCGTGCCAAAAGTGGGGGGAGTGAGGGGGGGTCGTGCGTGCACGTGCCCACACCCATAATTCTATGCGCCCCACCCGCTGCGTATGCACACAGGGCTCCCCCTGCTTTTGGCATGTGATGGCCCAGTGGGTCCGGTAGGCTTGTTTATCACCCCTTCCCAGGCTCCAGAGCCTTTCTAAGAGCCTGGGGAGGGTGAAAATGGCCTTCCCCACCCCCTGGGAGGCCAGAAAAGGCCCGTTTGCCAACTTCCGGCAAACAGACCGTTTCCGGAGGGCCTCTGGGGGGGTGGGGAAGGCCGTTTTCACCCTTCCCAGGCTCCTAGAAAAGCCCTGGAGCCTGGGGAGACAGAAAAACTGGCCCTCCCCACACCCCTCAGACCCTCCAGAGGCAGGAAACAGCTTGTTTCCCTACTTCCAGTGGGCCCAGAAGGCCTGAAAATCAACTGGTGAGCTGAGCTCCCTTGCCCACTGATATGGCTCCGTGTGCCACCTGTGGCACGCGTGCCATAGGTTCGCCATCACGGGTCTAGTGCTTAAAACACCAGCGTAGAAAGTGGGAGATGATGAATTCTAGTCTCACTTTAGGCATGAAAGCCGACTAAGTGACTTTGGGCCAATCACCAGGAGACGGTGAGTTCTGGTCCTGCCTTAGCCATGAATGCCAGTTGGGTGACATTGGGTCAATCACCAAGAAACTGTGAGTTCTAGTTCCTCCTTAAGTATGAAAGCTAGCTGAGTAATGTTGGGCCAGTCATATTCTATTAGACCAACCTATCTCAAGGATGGTGGTTGTGGGGAAAATAGGAAAATGGTGTATTGGATATGTTCCCCTCCTTGAGCTCTTTAATAAAGATTAACCAATAAAATTTGTTTCTCGTATGTCACCTGGCTCTGTGGAAAGACAGTATCTCGGGTTTCCAAGAAACAGATCTGCATATATGAATGATTTCCGTTTTTCCTCCCAGAACGCACCGTCCTGAAGGAGAGCTGCCCCACCGCTCCCAGCCGAAGCCATGGCCACAGTGGTGGCCAAACGGGAAGGCCCCCAGTTCATCAGCGAAGCAGCCGTCCGGGGAAACGCAGCCATCCTGGATTATTGCAGGACGTCCGTCTCCGCTCTCTCGGGAGCCACCGCCGGCATTCTCGGCCTCAACGGCCTCTACGGCTTCATTTTCTACTTCCTGGCCTCCGTCTTACTCTCGGTGCTTTTGGTGCTAAAAGCCGGACGGCGATGGAACAAATATTTTAAATCCCGAAGGCCTCTCTTTACCGGAGGACTGATCGGGGGGTTATTCACATATATTCTCTTCTGGACTTTCCTCTACGGCATGGTGCACGTTTACTAGGAGGAGGAGGAAGGTATAGCCAGAACGGTCGTGAGGAGGGACGGCTTGCTCCTTCCTCTCTGATGCCCTAGAACGGGGATCCCGACCCATTGCTTGCACTCTTCACGCGCTCCCTAACCTATGTCAGAAAGCAAGAACCCTGCTAATGAAACAGAATGTGAAACACCCCCCTCCCACCTCCTCGGTCTTTAAAAATGACATGTAAATAACCCAGTCCAGAGGACGTCTCCGTTCTCCTCGGTTTATCCCTCTGCCACAAGGCTGCTAGAATTCTCTTCTAACCCCCTTTAGCCCAACCTTCCCTTCGGAGACTTTCCTTGCTGTGTAACCAGATCTTCTATTTTGGAGAGGAAAAAAAAAATCTATATCAATATCCCATGCTTGATCGATTTTGTACGCACCTTGGTTGAAAGGCTTCAGGAAGGAAAACACAGTTTCTACAGCCTGACTACAGGCAGGTTGTAAGGGGTGGGTGGGTGGGTTGAGGGGCGCTTGGCCTGAAGCTGCTTAACTTCCAAGTAAACATTTGCAACGAGTTCGGTGGGAGTTTTATTTTGAAGGTGGGGGGGGGATTTATAGCCATCTCTAATAGCAATAGCACGTAGATTTATATGCTGCTCCACAGTGCTTTTACAGCCTTCTCTAAGCGGTTTATAGAGTCAGCCTCTTGCCCCCAAATAATCTGGGTCCTCATTTTACTGACCTCGGAAGGATGGAAGGCTGAGTCAACCTTGAGCCTGGTGAGATTTGAACTGCCAAATTGCAGGCAGTCAGCAGCAGAAGTAGCCTGCGCTACTGCACTCTTAACCACCGTGCCACTGTGGCTCATAATCAACACAGCCAGCATGGTGAGAGGTGATGGATACTGGATCTTCACATTTGTTATGTATCACCTCAAGTTCAGTAGAGATCCAGTTTTCTCATACCTGCTCAAGGTACTGCACGGGTCTCCAAACTTGGCAACTTGGAAGACGTGTGGGCTTCAACTCCCAGAATTCCTCAACCTTTCTAAATTAATCCTCATATTTCTGTGTATTTAGTATTCTCTGTGCAGGGATTTCTGGGAAAAGGTGCTATCAGGCTCCAGGTTTTTTTACTTTAAAAGGAGGAATTTCTGGAACCTTGAGTGAAATCAGTGGCTACTGATAACGATAAGTGGTATGAATTAGACCGAGATGTTGCTTTCTTAATCTAGGCTTAACGGTGGATCCTGGCTGGCAGTGATGAGAAACAGGCTGTTAAAATGGATTTTTTTGACAGTTCTGGTTCCTTTTTAGGGAACATTGAAGTTACACAGAACGGACCGCAAACTTTTCACTCACTTCCTTTTATTCTTTACATTCTTAAAGGCCACGTAATCCAGCTTTCATAAACCACACAGCAAAATAACTATTTTTTTTCGTGCGTGCATGGTTTTGGAGACGCAGGAGAGAGTGTCTATGAACTTGGGGAAAAAAGTCAAAAGGTCTTCTTTTTCTGACTACATCAAATGGTTCTTCACTGGTACTTTCGTGAAATAAAAATTTGGGGGAAATCGCGTGTTCCCAGCAAATGCATTTTTTGTCACAATATCCCATTTGCGTTTGTTGCTTCCTTGTTCTCGGCAAAGAAACTAAACTTCAGTCTGTGTTAAGAGATGTCCAACCTAGGCAACTTTTAAGACTGGTGGACTTCAACTCCCAGAATTCCCCAGTCAGAGAATTCTGGGAGTTGAAGTCCACCGGTCTTAAAAGTGGCCTGCTCTATTGCTTTGATTCTACATTGTTAACGACAACTAGAATCTTAGAAACCTGGTTTATTCTCCTGCCGCACAATTTATGTTTGCCAATTTATGCCTAATTACGGGAATCCCTTTCGGGTTTTTAAATCGCAGCGTTGGTCCTGATAAGAGTTGTAGCTTTCCTCTGCTACAGGCAGTCCTCGACTTAACGGCCGAAATTATGACTGTGAAGTTCACGACAGGCAGTCCTTGACTTAACGACCACAAGTGAGCCCAACACTTCCGTTGTTAAGTGAGTTTTGTCCCGTTTTTACTATCTCTCTTGGCCACCGTTGTTTCGGTGAATCGCTGCGGTTCTTAACGTTAGTAACCCGGTTGTTAAGTGAATCCGGGCTTCCCCGTCGACTTCTCCCGTCAGAAGGTTCGCAAGAGGGGATCGCCTGTCCCTGGGACACCGTGACCATCATAAATGTGAACCAGTTGCCAAGCATCCGAATTTTGATCACATGACCCTGAGGATGCTGCAACGGTCATAAGAGTGAAAAACGGTCGTAAACCCCTTTTTCCAGTGCCGTTGTAGCTTTGAACGGTCACTAAATGAACCTTTTGTAAGTCGAGGACTACCGGTATTCACTCACCTCCCCAGTGAAATCTACACCAGTTCTGACACACACACACACACCCCACAGTGACACAACTGCATTTTAGCTGCTTAGCAACCAGTCTGCATTTATGGCAGTTTTCAGTATCCTGTGCTTATATGACCCATAATTTATGACGTTTTTACTGTTTATTTCCAGTTTTGGGCAAAAACAGCCCACACCAAACAATGGGTTCACTTAGCGACGGTGTCGACAAAAAAGGTCATCAAATTGGGTGGATGTCCCCCTTTACAACCGTCACAACTTACGACTAATGGGCAAGCTCCTTAACGGCATAAGTCAAGGACTTGCGCTGAGAGGGGTGGTAGGTCTGCTGTTTGGGAAGGAAGGAAGCAGTTGCTGGATTGTAGGTGGTCCTTAACTTACCACCATTCACTTAATGACCGTTGACATTACAATGGCACTGAAAAAAGCGACTTAATGATCGGTTCTCACACTTAACGATTGTGCCAACATCTCCACGGTCACGTGACTAAAATTTGACCACTTGGCAACTGGCATGTATTTATGACTGTCACATTGTCCTGGGATCACGTGATCACTTTTTGCGATCTTCCCAGCCTGCTTCTAACAAGTGAAGTCAATGGGGGGGGGGAGCCAGATTCACTTAACGACTGCATGATTCACTTAACAACTGCAGTGATTTGCTTAACTGTTGTAAAATTTGGCACAGCTCCCTTAACTTGCCTTGCTTAGCAACGGGAATTTTGGACTCTACTGGCAGAAGTTCAAGGACTATCTGTAACAGCTTACAGCTATCTTAATGCTATCTTGCTATAATGCAAGTTGTAAGATTAACTTTCCTCGTCAACTAAAACTCATTTTTAATATATTAAGATTTAATTAATTAAATATATTATAAACATATTTTAAAATAATTTTTACTTTTATTTTAAAAGATTAAAAACTAACAAGGACTTATACATACATACAGCGTATGTATACCCATGCTCTGCTACAAAACTATGTGATGGGGCTTGATAAATCGACACAGCTTGAAAATTAATGAGTAGTTACGTTCGGCCTCTCCTCTCCCCTTCTCTCCCTCAGGCTTGGCCCACAGAAGCCTCCCCTATCCTACCCACTTCTCTCCCTCAGGCTTGCCCCACAGAAGCCTATCCTATCCTATCCCCCTTTTCTCCCTCAAGCTTGCCTCATAGAAGCCTCCCCTATCCTATCCGCTGCTTGCTGCTGTGAAAGTAAAACTGAAACTCCTCTCCTCTGCTTGTGTTTTGCATTTGGAACAGATTTCAGGTGGGAAGGGGGAGTAGAACTCCTTAGCATCAGAGCCAGGGGGAGTTCTACTTACCTTTGCTACCTGTTCGCAACAGGATCATGCACGCGCGCTCGCTTCGCGCATGCGCAGATCACTGATGATGACATCCGGGGTGGTGGGTGGAGCCTCCCACCGGTTTTACTACCGGTTCTTGCGAACTGATCCAAACCGGGGGCAACCCACCACTGATCAGAGTGTGTTAATAATAATATAGGAAATGCTAATGCTCTGATGGTCATTTCGAAAAATCCTTTCTTAGCGAGTACCTAAAAGCCTAGAGGAACATATGTGGCAAATTTCAAGTTTGTAGGCTTTACAGTTCTGGAGATTTTGTGATGATGCGTGAGTGGTATTTTGCTTTTATATATGTAGATATATACATATGCAAGTCTTGGCGTATTCGGGTCTTTTCCCGTGTAAGATTAAGAGTATCTTGGTGACGTTTTGACGAGGTCCCACTCGTCATCTTCAGGCTGGTGCCTTCAGCTTCGTGCCTGTGCGAGCAAAGTGTGATCAGAGCTGCCGTCTCTATAAATACTGGTGGGGAGTGGTGGGATGCTGGCTTTGTTGCTGTGAGCAGGTTGGACGATACCTCCCACCTACCGGACATCTGGAAACTAGCCCTAGTCAACAGACGAGTTCCTGCCACGAAGATTAACACCGGACCCAAGATAACACATGACACCATCACCAATCATCCTCACCAGATTCAAACCCAAACCCATCCCATAGACGAAGTGCAACCACCATCCAGAGGCCAGACCACGGCGGCATCACCAGCTGCTGCGTCCCCCTCCGATCCCCACACAAAGCAAACTGACACACGCCATGAACACATGGCAAGACCTCAAACTCGGAGCCAAACCAAAGCCATCTGCTCAGGACATTACATCAAAAAAACTCAGGATATCACAACACTAGAACTCAGGATGTTAACACACAGCCCATTACCCAGGTCGTTACAACACAAAGGACTAATGGGCACACATCAAGGACCTCACCCACACAGGATGTTACGAAACAGCCGACTAATCTGCAAACATCAACTCCATCAACCAATCAAGATGTAACAACACAGGCAACCAACCAGCTCACAGCAACAAAGCCAGCACCCCACACCTCCCCACCAGTATTTATAGAGAGACGGCAGCTCCGATCATGCTTTGCTCGCACAGGCACGAAGCCGAAGGCACCAGCCTGAAGATGACGAGCGGGACCTCGTCGAAACGTCACCAAGATACTCTCAATCTTACACGGGAAAAGACCCGAATACGCCAAGACTTGCATACTTCTACCCATGAAAATCTATGAAAAGATATATACATATATATCTATTTTCTTACTCTTCGTAGGTTTTATGTGTGTTTTTCTTTTAGCCAGGTTTTTCCTGCGTAACCAGAAAAATGCAGAAAAATGTAGGAAAAACCTGGCTAAAAGAAAAACATATATATATATATATATACACATACATGTATGTGTGTGTGTGTGTATATATATCTGTAATGGTAGTTTAATACTCTGACGATGTCAGCAAATGGCTGACGAAAGCTTAGTAGAATAAAATTTTAATTATTTTAATTCCGGAGTTCACAGAATGTCTGCTTCTTTCTTTACAAATATACCTGGAACTCGTATTTTTAGAATAGTTTGTAACATACACAAACACATACATACACAGACACAAACACACAATAATCTCCTTTATTATTTTTATAAATTACTTAAGGTGGCGAACATACTTAATACTTCCTCCTCCTTTCCTCACGACAACAACTCTGAGGATATAAAGGAAAGACAGGAAAGGAAACGAGGAAAAAAGCCCAAATTGAAAAAAAAAACCTGAAAAAAAAAGAGAAAGAAATAGCTTCCAATTCTCTTTGTGGCAATTATTAATAAACAAATGCCACATTATCTTTTACTCTATAGTTGTTTTTTTTTTTTAAAAAGAAACCTCTCTGATCTATTTCTTCTCATCATCAAAATCATGTTTTATTTTTTAAAAACTTCTTTTTCAGTTCCACCCATTTTTTTTTTTTTTAAGCATACAGAAATTCCTGCTGAAGCTGCCATCTGGAGTATGGCTTGTGGTTCCGTAGATAATATTCTGATTTAATTCCTGCGATTTGCCATTCTGTCATAAAACAAGACCTGGGTTGTGTTTGAATTCATACCATAGGCATAAAAAAAAATAAAATCCAGTCTCTTTTTTTCCCTGAAGTGGAGGTTCAAGACATGCCAATGACCAACCCATCTTCATCGTGAAGTTATGTTTCATGAGTTGGTTGGATGGTGGAGAATTGTTTATCCATGTTGCAGGAATTTATTTAGGATTCCCGCATAATCCCACAGACTGGAGAATTGTTTATCCACGTTGCAAGAATTTATTTTGAATTCCTGAATAATCCCACAGGCTCAACAATTTGCAGGAAGAGATTCAAAATGGACAGCAGAATGGGAAGAAGATGATTAAAGCCTTACTATTGTATAATTTCCAAGAATGCTCAGAATATCATTATTCTCAGAGTCGCTTTGAAGTGCGAGATGGACGGCGAGTAAATTTGGCAATTACAGGTAGTCCTCAACTTACAATCACAATTCAGCCCAATATTTCCATTGTTAAGAGACATTTGTGAAGTGAGTTTTGTCCCCGTTTTACGACCTTTCTTGCCACATTTGTTAAGCGAACCACTGCGGTTGATAAATTAGTAACACGGTTGTTAAGTGAATCCGGCTCCCTCATTGACTTTGCCGGTCAGCAGGTCGCAAAAGAGGATCACGTGACTTTGGGACACAGGAACGGTCATCAGTATGAGCCAGTTTTGATTTTGATCACAGGATCAAAAGTTCGTTAAGTGTGAAAAGTGGTCATAGGTCGCTATTTTCAGTGCCGTTGTAACGTTGAACGGTCACTAAGTGAACTGTTGTAAGTCGAGGACTGCCTGTAATAATGACTGGGGCAAAAGAAAACAAAGGTAATATCCATAGTAATAGATGCCTTGGGAGCAATCCCAAAACATCCTGAGCACCACTTAAAGGCCATTGGCATTGACAAATTCGCCATCAGTCAATTACAAAAGGCAGATTTACTCATAACAGCTGACATCCTTCGACGAGGATTTTAGCACCATCAAATATCCACATCTGCCTTTTCTGGGGTCTTGGGAAGGATTTTATTTTATTTTTTTTTCATCGTTTAATGACCTCGTAATCTGTTGCGGGTTGGACTCGGGGCAACTGAATGGAGCTGAGTGTTTATTGGCCGGATGCCTTTCCTGTCGCCGACGCGGAAATTTTGCAGCAGATCAATTCTCATTGCGCCCTGAGAGAGAAATATCAGCCGCTACACCTAGGATCGAACTCAACAGCCACCTGATTGCGAGGCGAGAGCTCCACCTCTAGGCCACCGCACCGTTCTTGGGAAGGACTCGACGGGTGGACAAAAATGCCAAATCCATCTGGCCGACTGCGCGATGGAACGATAATAATTCAAGGTGGACAACTATCCTCTCCACTCATCCGTTGACATACATTTGACAGGCTCAAGAACGGGCTGTCTTAGCTTTCTCCAGAAGCCACAGAAAGAGAATTGATATCCACCACGCAGCTACGGTCCTTACCCAAGATTTTCTGGCATTTGGTTTGATTTTAAAAAGTTAACATCCTGCAATGTGTAGTAGTATCCTCGGCTTAGGATGTCGAAAACGAAGACCGCGAAGAGCTGAAGCGAATATCTTCCTGGCAACTTTCTGTGTGGTCCGCGGTTTCTCTTAACAACGGATGACGTCGCGAAGGGTTTAGGCCTCAACCGTCTGTAGCTGTTGATCCAGCCGGGATAAAGAATTGTCACTCTGATTCCCAGCCTGGTTCCCGTTGACGGTGCTCTCCGGCAAAGATTTCTTGGTGTTTGACCTACATGAGGAAAAGGGAAGTCGGGAAAATGAGTAAATGTGGAATCTCTGTAAACTTTCTGGCAGACGTTTCGTTACCCAACTAGGTAACATCATCAGGGTTGTTGAGTGTGAGGTTTGCTGCCTGTTTATATATACGGCAGACTTACGACCACGAATGAACCCAGAATTGATGTTGCTCGGTGAGAAATTGGTTAAGTGAGTTTTGCCTCATTTTACAACCTTTCCTGCCACATTTATGAAGTGAATCACTGCAGTTGTTAAACTTAAGCTCTTCTCCTTGTTTTCCTTCCTTCCTTCCTTCCTTCCTTCCTTCCTTCCTTCCTTCCTTCCTTCCTTCCTTTTTTTTTTTTAATTTGATTTATATGCCACCCTTCTCCGGAGACTCAGGGTGGCTTACAATGTGCTAAGCAATAGCCTTCATACTTTTGTATATTTATACAAAGTCAGCTTATTGCCCCCACAAACTGGGTCCTCAATTTACCTACCTTAGAAAGGATGGAAGGCTGAGTCAACCTTGAGCCTGGCGAGATTCGAACCTGGAGTAATTGCAGGCATCTGGTCTTAATAACAGGGTTATTGTACTACCAAGGCCCTTCCTTCCTTCCTTCCTTCCTTCCTTCCTTCCTTCCTTCCTTCCTTCCTTCCTTCCTTCCTTCCTTTCCTTCCTAAGCAATAGCACTTAGACTGCAAGGCTGAGCCAATAGCACTAACCCTTAGACTTATATACCACTTCACAGTGCTTTGCAGTCCTCTCTAAGCGTTTTACAGAGTCAGCACCTTGCCCCAAAAATCTGGGTCTTCATTTTACCGACCTCGGAAAGGATGGAAGGCTGAATCAACCTTGAGCCAATCAGGATCAAACTCCTGGCAGTCAGCAGAATTAGCCTGCAAAACTGCATTTTAGCAACTGCGCCACCCCCTACTCATTGTAGTTGATGGGCTACATCTGTCAGCACTTCAAGCTGCATTTACTTTAGTGCTGACATAAGAAGGAGAAGCGGAGGCGTCTGGAAAGGGACGTTTGACTTTTCACCTACTTATTTTCCCTGGAGATAATATCCCGTAGGAGATGGGATGGGAGGGGGGGAAATTCCTTTGAGCTGGAGCAGTAGATTAGGGGTAGAGTGACTTGGAAGATGGCCAATGAGTGCAGAGGAGTGGGGAACGGAAAGGGAGGGTTTTGGGTCTGGAAGTCAGTGTTGGCTGCGATGGAGTCGGAGTTAGAATGTCGTGCTTAATAAATGGGAGTTTTTCATCAAAGACTTTGTTTGAAATGCAATTTATTTGAGATTTCTCGGACAAGGTCGGAAGTTATAAAAATAAGGAATCTCGATGAATCGAGAATGCTTTGCAGCTGCAGGCCACCTACCTCACTTCCTCGTATTTTTTCCCTCTGTAAAACTGGCTCTTTCGAAGAAGATACAGCAGCACCAAGTCGCAGAGAAATGCTCCCTGGGTGGGTTGGATGGCAGAAACAATTCCATGTGAACCGAGTGGAAAATCCACTGTGCTAAACAGTTAACTTTTTAAAAAAATGGTTTCTTATTTGCAGTTGCATGCAAATAATGAGGGTTTTTTAATTATATTTGATTATGTTATTTTATTTTATTTTATTTTATTATTTTTTTTTTATTTTTTAAACAAACAAACATAAAACCATCATCAATTTGCAAACAGTGTGTCGGTTGGTTACAAGTCTTTTGTGCATCATTCGCCAAATTCATAGTTTACAGTTTTCAATTTACCTAGATTCTCATATCATCAATCTATATGTTGTTATCCTCATTAATCATTTGTTTAGATATAACTATTTCTTCCCACATTATCATTCAAAGTATTCTAAGATTTGAGTTAATTTTTATTTATGACATTCATTTATTTTATTTTTAAAGCCAAAAGAGCAGCTTTAGATGATCAGATAATAAGATATATAACATTTTAATACAGTGGTGGGAGTCAAATAATTTAATAACAGGTTCTGTGGGCGTGACTAGGTGGTCATGTGACTAGGTGGGCGTGGCTAGGTGGTCATGTGACTGGGTGGGCGTGGCTAGGTGAGCATGTGACTGGGTGGGCGTTATAGGTAGTTCTCAACATACAACACAACAGGTCGTTTAGTGACGCTTCAGAGTGATAGTAGCATTGAAAAAGTGACTTATGACCGTTTTTCACACCTACAACCCTTGCCGTATCCCCGTGGTCACAGGATCAGAATTTGGATGCTTGGCAACTGACTCATATTTATGACGGTTGAAGTGGCCCGGGGTGACATGATCCCCTTTTGCGACCTCCTGACAAGCGAAGTCAACGGGGAAAGCCTGATTCGTTTAACAACCGTGTTAGTAACTTAACACCTGCAGTGATTCACTTAACAACTGTGACAAGAAAGGTTGTAAAATGGGGCAAAGCTCACTTAATAAATGTTTCACTTAGTGGCAGAAATGTTGGGCTCAATTGTCGTAAGTCAAGGACTCCCTGTAATAAGGTAATAAAATAAGACAATAGTCCTTGATTTATGACCACAATTGGGAGTAGGATTTCACTTTGCTTAGCAAAGTGGTTAAGTGAATCGCACCTAATGTTGTCACCTTTTTTGCCATGGTTGCTAAGTGAATCACTGCAGTCGTTAAGTGAATCGTGCGGTCATTAAATGATTCCGGATTCCCCCATTGACTTTGCTGGTTGGAAGCCAGCTGAGGAGGTCTCAATTGGTTATCACGTCATTCCAGAACCATAAATTTATGATTCCAGAATCATAAATAGATGCCGCTTATCAAGCACTTGAATTATGATCACGTGACTGTGGGAATGCTGTAACGGTCGTAAGCATGAGGACTGGTTGTAAATCACTTTTATCATAACTTTGACCCATCGCTAAACGAACGGTTGTAAGTCGAGGACGGCCTTTGATCCAGCAATTGCTGCTTGCTTCCATCCCGAATCAGAATGGAATGGAATGGAATGGAATAGAGGAATGAAGAATGGAACGGAACGGAACGGAACAGAACAGTGGAATGAAGAATAGAATAGAATAGAATAGAATAGAATGGAATAGAATAGAATAGAATAGAATAGAATAGAATAGAATAGAATAGAATAGAATAGAATAGTGGAATGGAATGGAATGGAATGGAATGGAATGGAATAGAATAGAATAATGAAGAATGGAATGGAATGGAATAGAATAAATAGAATAGAATAGAATAGAATAGAATAGAATAGAATAGAATAGAATAGAATAGAATAGTGGAATGAAGAATGGAATGGAATAGAATAATATGGAATGGAATGAAATGGAATAGAATAGAATAGAATAGAATAGAATAGAATAGAATAGAATAGAGGAATGAAGAATGGAATGGAATGGAATGGAGGAATGAAGAATAGAATAGAATAGAATAGTATAGAGTAGATTACAGTAGAGTAGAGTAAAGTAGAATAGAATAATTGTATTGTCACTTTTAGACTAATTGGCATACATTAAAAATGAAATTTGGTTGCATATAGCTCTTAAAGGCTCATCACTTCCAATATAGCACTACATAAACATGACAAGATAAATACAAAATTATATGACACAGAGAAACAACACAGTCTAGTTCGGGTGTATACATGTACATGGTGAGAAAAATGAATCTTGCGAGTTTACTAGACAGATGGCCTAGGGAACAAAACTGTTACAGAATCTGGTAGTCCTTCCGTAGATACTTCAAAACCTCCTCCCAGGGCGGAGCAACAGAAACAGAACCGTGAAGTAGGTGAGTGGGGTCTCTAACAATGCTTTGAGCTCTAGGCACACAGCGCTTACAAGCAGTATCCTGAATAAAGGAAAGTGAGATTCCTATAATCTTCTCCACTGTCCTCACCACTCTCTGTAGGGACTTTCTATCTGAGGCACTGCTGCCACCAACCCAAACAGGGATGCAGTTTGTTAAATTGACTTACCACTCCCATTAGCGCAAGACTGGAACCCACGTTGATTACCGTTGGGATGATGTTAAATTTCCCTGCCTGAAAAAAAAACAAAAAAAAAAGTGAATTTGTGAGATGTGCACAGATTTTAACGTTTCTACAGGTAGTCCTTGACTCACAACCACAATTGGGCCCCAAAATTTCTGCTGCTAAATGAGACAGTCGCTAAGTGAGTTTTGCCCCATCATACAACCTTCCTTGTTGTTAAGTGAATCACTGCAGTTCTTCAGTAAACAACATAGCTTCCCCATTGATTTTGCTCGTCAGAAGGTCGCAAAAGGGAATTGTGCGACCCCCAGGACACTGCAAACGTCATAAATATGAGTCAGTTGCCCAATGTCTGAGTTTTGATCATGTGACTGTGGGAATGCTGAAACGGTCGTAAGTGCGAAAAACACACATGGGTCACCTTTTTCAGGGCCTTTGTAACTTCGAACCATCACTAAACTGTTGTAAGTCGAGGACTTCCTGAACTGGTTAGACCGGTGTTTCTCAAAGCTGCGTGGATGTCAACTCCCAGAATTCCCCAGCAGGACCTCTGGCTGGGGAATTCTGGGAGTTGAAGTCCACACAGCTTAAAGTGGCCAAGGTTGAGAAACAATGGCTTAAAGAGCACCGGTATCAAACTCGCTGCGTCACGTTGCCGTCACATGATATATCGCAAAAATGTTTCCCTTTCGTGGAACTGGGGTGGGCGTGGCCCGCGCATGATGCATCCGGCCTGCGGGCCGCCGGTTTGATACCCCTGGCTTTGAGCCTTAGACAGTTCCAGTGGTGAGTTGCCCCCAGTTCGGACCGGTTCACAAGAACCGGTAGTAAAACCGGCGGGAGGCTCTGCCCACTGCCCCGGATGTTACCCTAGGCCCGTGACACATCGAGCCATATCTGTGGGCACGTGAGCGTTGTGCTAGCTCAGTTGATTTTGGGGCCTTCTGGGCCTACTGGAAGTTGGGAAACGGGCCATTTCCGGCCTCGGGAGGGCCTCTGGGGGGTGGTAGGGAAGGCTGTTTTCACCCTCCCCAGGCTCCAAGAAAGCCTCTGGAAGTCTCGGGAGGATGAAAAACGGGCCTATTGGGCCCACCGTGCCATCGTATGCCAAAAGCGGGGAATGCGGGGGGGGGTCGCGCACGCATGCGTGGGGGGTCAGGGTGCGGGGGGGGCATTGAATTATGGCCGTGGGCACGCGCACGAAAGACCCCCTGTCAGGTTTCAATGTCATCTCAAATAAATTGCACTCCCAAACAATTAATCTTTGCTGAAATATTCCATTTATTGAGTACGACAGATCTAACCCTGACTTCGTCGTAGCCGATACTAACCCTCTGACCCCCAAACCCTTCCCTTTCCGTTCCCCAATTCTCATCTTCTCACTGGCCATCTTCCAAGTCAGTCTCCCCAGCTTCTGACCTCAACCCACAGGAATGTCCCCCCTCCCATCCCATCTCCTAGGGGATATTATCTACAGAGAAAATAAGTAGGTGAAAAGTCAAGCCTCGTCTCCTCCTTTTTATGGCAGCATCAGAATGCTGACACCCCCCCTGCACTCTCTCTGCTTTTGGCACGCGACGGCAAAATGGTTAGCCATCACTGCCCTAGGCAATCTCTGCATGTGCAGAAGCTTCTGCTCATGTGCAGATGCTCAGTTCGTGCGCGATCCTGTTGCAAACTCATAGTAAAGGTAAGTGGAACCCACCCTTGGACAATTCCCCCAATGGGAGTCTGTTATTTAGAACAGAGTTGGAAGGGACCTTGGAGGTCTTCTAGTCCAACCCTCCCTTGCTCAAGCAGGTGGGTTGGACTGCAAGACCTCCATCAGAAGACCCTTGCCTAATGTGACCTTCACCTGACATGACCTCCCCACACAAGACCCACTGAACCATACTAAGCCCTTATATAGTAGTGGCCCAAATTGTGGAAACCTTTTGGGAAAAGTGTATTTTCTAAAACTAGCTAATAACACCACTTTTTTGGGGGGGGGGAGTAGTATTTATTTATTTATTGGTTCAATTTATATGCCGCCCTTTTCCGGAAACTCAGGGCGGCTTAAAATGCGTTAAGCAATAGCCTTCATACTTTTGTATATACCTGCTTAGTAGGGCTTTCAGGGCCCCCCCAAAGCGGTGTTCTTTTTTATACAAAGTCAGCTTATTGCCCCCACAATCCGGGTCCTCATTTTACCTACCTCGGAAGGATGGAAGGCTGAGTCAACTTTGAGCCGATCAGAATCGAACTCCTGACTTTGAGCAGAGTTACCTGCAATACTGCCTTATAACAACTGTGCCACCACAGATTCCTTCCTTCCTTCCTTCCTTCCTTCCTTCCTTCCTTCCTTCCTTCCTTCCTTCCTTCCTTCCTTCCTTCCTTTATTGGTTCGATTTATATGCCGCCCTTCTCCGGAGACTCAGGGCGGCTTACAATGCGTTAAGCAATAGCCTTCATACTTTTGTATATACCTGCTTAATAGGGCTTTCGGGGGCCCCCCCAAGCAGTGTTCTTTTTTATACAAAATCAGCTTATTGCCCCCACAATCCGGGTCCTCATTTTACCTACCTCGAAAGGATGGAAGGCTGAGTCAACCTTGAGCCTGGTGAGATTCGAACTTGCAGTAATTGCTGGCAGATGGTGCTACTTAACAGCACTTTAGTCTGCTGCGCCACCAAGTTATATATCAATGGAAAGATAATTTAATCAAGAACGTAATGCAATAACTTTTATGAAGGATTTGCTCTTAGAATAGCAGTTACAGCAGAAAGAAGAAAAGTGAAACACGTAGAAAAAAAGAGATATGCAGAAATGATCCCCATGTCAGTTAATCCTTCATTGGGTAACCTTCAGCATGAATGATGGCCTTACAACGTCTTCCCATGGAATGAACCAAGTCTTTGAGTTCTCATGTGAAACCAAGATTGAATGATGGCTTCTATGAACTGGGTTTTATTGCTGGATTGCTTCTGACTAACCAGTTTCTTTAGTTGGCTCCATAGATTTTCAATTGGGTGAAGATCTGGGCTATTCCCAGGCCATTCCAGCAGTGGAATAGGATTATCTTGAAACGCCAAGAAAAACAGTGGTGTTATTAGCCATCAAACCTCAAAAATACACTTTTCCCAAAAGGTTTCCACAATTTTGGCCACGCAACACCGACACTGACATCCCCTAAACGCTGCTGATGAAGTTACCTAGACTGGTAACAAAACGTTCAAAACTAAACCCACAAGCTCGGAGAACAAACCTCCACCTTCATCCTACACCCGAGCTACAGATATTTTGCCACCATCGCAAATCTGTTTTGTTTTTTTCCCCCAGTTGTGCCTGAGATCACCTTGCCGTTCACCATGATATCAAAACGGATCCCGTAAGCTTTGATCAGCGTTCGGAAATCAACATCAGCCGCGCTCCGGTAATACTTGGCAAATCTGAAAAGAAAATAAATCATAAAATGTCATACAATTTATTTTTCTGAGCAAAAGAAAATTTTCTTTTCTTTTCTTTTTTCCTGTGGCTTCATTGCTGGTTGAATCATGACATACTTACTGCCTGATTACAGGCAGTCCTCGACTTACATCCACTCGTTTAGTGACCGTTTGAATTTACAACTGCACTGAAAAAAGTGATTTACGACTGTTGCAACATCCTCGCGTGATCAAAATTCAGACGCTTGGAAACTGGCATGTATTTATGACAGTTGCAACGTCCCGGGATCATGTGATTGCCTTTTGTGACCTACTGATGTAAAATCAATAGGGATTGATCCGCTTAACAACCGTGTTACTAACTGCACAACTGCAGCAGTGGTGGGTTTCAAATTTTTTTTACTACCGGTTCTGTGGGTGTGGCTTAGTGGACGTGGCATGGCTTGGTGGGCATGGCTTGGTGGGCTTGGCAGGGGAAGGATACTGCAAAATCCCCATTCCCTCCCCAGTCCAGGGAAAAGATACTGCAAAATCTCCATTCCCACCCCACTCCAGGGGAAGGATACTGCAAAATCCCCATTCCCTCCACACTCCAGGAGAAGGATACTGCAAAATCTCCATTCCCTCCCCACTCCAGGGGAAGGATACTGCAAAATCCCCATTCCCACCCCATTCCAGGGGAAGGATACTGCAAAATCTCCATTCCCTCCCCACTCTAGGGGAAGGATATTGCAAAATCTCCATTCCCTTCCTACTCCAGGGGAAGGATACTGCAAAATCCCCATTCCCTCCACACTCCAGGGGAAGGATACTGCAAAATCCCCATTTCCTCCCGATCAGCTGGGACTCTGGAGGGTAGAGAATAGATGGGGCCGGGGCCAGTCAGAATTTTTACAAGCGGTTCTTCGTACTACTCAAAATTTCTGCTACCGGTTCTCCAGAACCGGTCAGAACCTGCTGAAAAACCCACCTCTGAACTGCAGTGATTAGCTTAACAATTGTGGCAAGAAAGGTGTAAAATGGGGCAAAACTCCCTCACTTAGCAACGGAAAATTTGGGCTCAATGGGGGTCGTAAATTGAGGATTACCTCTAACGAAAGTCATGAATGTTATTATCTATCACCTCTGTTACAAGAATGCCCCCAGATTTTCTGCCGTCTCCTGGGAAGATAAGACTTCATGGATGTTGTGAGGTAGTGTCGCGGCCTCTCGGCCGCCGGCCCCTCCACCCGCCGAATCAGAGGAGGAGGAGGCGGTGTGGGACTCAGGATCAGCATCAAGGCAACCTGAGAGCTCCGAGGGGGAAGAGGGAATGGAGCTAGCAGAGAGAGAGACAGAGACGGAGCCTGGGCTGTCCGTCAGCCCTCAGATGGAGAGTCAACATCCTGAGGTCTGGAGGTGGCTGATGAGGAAGAGGAGGAACAGCTGAGTCCAGTTCCTGACGCGCGGATGCACAGAAGGCAGAGGAGAGGAGAGCAGTGGAAATCTATGGGCCGGTCCTCGGGACAGAAGAACCACCGTTGCTAGCGAAGCCCCAGCCTAGCTCTGGCGATAAAAGACAGGGTGCGGAGATGAATAGATGTAGCAGACAACTATTCATCTCCCTGCCAGATGGACTTGTTAGCCTGTGGTGAGAAAAAAAACTTTTTGCCAGGACTGCTGGCGCTCTTAACAAAGGAATCTTTGAGTTCACTTCAGAGGGTTGGTCGTGTTTGGGCAGCTAGGTCAGAACAGGTAGCTCAAGCTTATGCCTCTTGCAACTAATGTAGGTAAATGCGGGTCCAGCTGGATGATCACTGAAGGGCCCTCTTTATTCATAGTATTGTAGGAAAGAAAATGCGCTTGCAAATTAACCAGTTGAGACAGTACAAAGGCAGAACAAAAGTTCCTTTGAAGTAGAAACATTCAGAGAGGGGGCCCCTCAGTTGTCAGAGATAAGAGACATTTGGTGATATACAGTATGAAGGTTAAAGAGATCAAGTATGACCACATGTAATATTAACAAGAGACAATTTGAATCTATGCTTCAGTAATTTACATGAAGAATTATGACTTGGCAAAGAATAATATGAAACAGTAATTAGGAAATGTCAATTAAATATAACAAATGTATACGATCACATAAACTGCTGAGTTAACAGAACCCTTTGTCTTAGAAGAGTATAAAAACCATTGTACCTAATTTCTTTCTTTGTTCAACGCTTCATGTACAGAGCTTTGAACCTATTTGCGCAATATACAATGTCTCTGGCTAACCCTGAAAAGTTGTGTTGGTCTTATTAAATCCACAACACAACCAATCTTCTCCCTTTTAAAATTTTAAAATTTAAATTTTAAACACTAATTTTAATTTGTTTAATTATGGGATAGTTTTAAAATTTAGCCAAATTGTTTAATCTGTTTTAATCTATTTTAAATTTTGTATCTCTGTGTTTTATCTTTTGGCTGTTCACCGCCCTGAGTCCTTCGGGAGAAGGGCAGTATAGAAATTTAATAAAATAAATAAATAAATAAATAAATAAATAAATAAATGCAAGGATTCCAAGCTAGGCCCTCACTTGACTCTTCCTTCCTTCCTTCCAGCCTGGCTGACCTGATCAATGAAATCCCACCGGATTTGGCCACTGAAGCCATTTTGGAAAGACCGAACTGCCGAAGTTGCGGATTGAGGATGCTTCGGCCAAACGCCTCTTTCTCCTTTACCTGAAGTTGTATCCAGAGGAGACAGACTTCTCCGCAAATGTGTTATCTAGGCGACTGAAAGAATAGCGAGGGTTGCATTCCGACGGCTTTTTATCCAAGTTGCAGTCCCATTCAATCTGGATGCCAATCACACCCCCCTGGATTAAAAACAAAACAAAACAGAGGAAGTTTTTCTTCAGTTTTGGAAGAAGATCGGGAAATTGTTTTCCCTCAAAAACGTTGGGAGATCCACCAGGCTGGCTCCACGGCCTGACCTAAATGCAGGTGGTCCTTGACTTACAACTGGTTGCATAACGATTCAAAGTTACAATGGGCCCACCCCCCCAATAGGTATTTACGACCTACTTCTGAAGTTCTGATGGCCAGTCATCCCCTCATGGCCACATCTGGGGTGCATTTAGGGCTATTCGCAGCGTTCTGTGGACATCTAAATGTGATTTATATCACGCTTAGGCATGAAAACCAGTTGAGTGACTTTGGGCCAATCACCAGGAGACGGTGAGTTCTAGTCCCGCCTTAGGCATGAAAGCCAGCTAGGTGACTTTGGGCCAATCAACAGGAGACAGTGAGTTCTAGTCCCGCCTTACGCATGAAAGCCAGCTAGGTGACTTTGGGCCAATCACCAGGAGACGGTGAGTTCTAGTCCCGCCTTAGGCATGAAAGCCAGCTGGGTGACTCTGGGCCAATCACCAGGAGATGGTGAGTTCTAGTCCCGCCTTAGGCATGAAAGCCAGCTGGGTGACTCTGGGCCAATCACCAGGAGATGGTGAGTTCTAGTCCCGCCTTAGGCATGAAAGCCGGCTGGGTGACTCTGGGCCAATCACCAGGAGACAGTGAGTTCTAGTCCCACTTTAGGCATGAAAGCCGGCTGGGTGAGTTTGGGCCAATCACCAGGAGACAGTGAGTTCTAGTCCCGCCTCAGGCATGAAAGCCAGCTGGGTGACTCTGGGCCAATCACCAGGAGACAGTGAGTTCTAGTCCCGCCTTAGGCATGAAAGCCATCTGGGTGACACTGGGCCAATCACCAGGAGACAGTGAGTTCTAGTCCCGCCTCAGGCATGAAAGCCAGCTGGGTGACTCTGGGCCAATCACCAGGAGACAGTGAGTTCTAGTCCCGCCTTAGGCATGAAAGCCGGCTGGGTGACTCTGGGCCAATCACCAGGAGACGGTGAGTTCTAGTCCCACCTTAGGCACGAAAGCCAGCTTTGTGGCAATCGCCAGGAGACTGTGAGTTCTAGTCCCACTTTAGGCATGAAAGCCGGCTGGGTGACTTTGGGCCAATCACCAGGAGGAGATCCCTTTATGACGGACCACCAGCTAAAAGGAAGGAGCAGCCCACTTTTTCCCCCATACCTCTGATGCCATCTCGTGGAAGTTGCTCCCAGCCCAGTTGACCAGTTTCCCCAGTGAGAAGATGGGGCAGTACGGTTGGTCTGCTCCATAGTGACAATTTTTCAAATAAGCATCGTTTTTGGTGTCGAGGACGTTGGTTCTACATCCGAAAGACAGGGAAGTAAGAAAGGTATTCAAAAATCAGCAACACAGGCTGTCTCGCTATTGCAATGGTCATTAAGTGAGGTAATCCTCACTTAGTGATCATTCATTTAGCAACCGTTCGAAATATATGACGGTGCTGAAAACAATAACCGATGCTGAAGGGCAAGCTACTCCAGGTTAGTCCTCGACTTATAACAATTCATTTAGTGACCATTCAGTGGTTACAGTGTCACTGTAGCCAGTGTTTCACACTTACGGCCGTGGCAGCATCCTCGCAGTGACATGATCAAAATTAAGATGCTTGGCAACTAGTTCAGATTTATGACGGGTTTCATTGTCCCTTTTGCAACCTTCTGACAAGCAGAATCAATGAGGTTGCCAGATTCACTTAACGTCCATGTTACTGACTTAACAACGGCAGTGATTCCCTTAACGACGGTGGCAAGAAAATTCGCGAAAGGGGGGCAAAACTCATTTAACAACTGTCTTGCTTAGCAACGGAATTTTTTGGGCCCAGTTTGTGGTCGTAAGTCGAGAACTACCTGCACCGGACTTTATTAAATAGGAATGCTTGTTCTGGTGGGCAAATTGTTCTTTTTTCATGTATCTATTGTTTTTTATAATTTTAATGTTTTATGCTGCCCAGAGTCTTAGGGAGCTGATGGCTTTCGAAATTTAATTTTAAAAAATAAGTTAAAACATGGGACACTATCAGTTAGAATATCAACCTTCCAGCAGTACTTAAATCAGTCATGTTGTGATCTAGGCTTCCTGAAACACACAAGTAGTCCCAAAAACCTATTTTATTGCAACAGCTGTGAATTACGTTCATTCACAGCCGAGTCCCAATTAGTTGCAAAAAGTCCTTCGGGATAATCACCCACCTTTTATCTCCCTTGACACTCTGCCAAAGACCTACTTGGCAAAGCCACACGGAGTCCAGAATCAAACAGAGATGCCGACTGGGAACAGAATTAACAACGTTGCTTTCCTACAAAGAGCCCAAGAGCCTTTGCTGCTCTTTTAAGCCTTATGGGAGGGGCCAATCATCTCCAGGCCTTACTCCCAAGTTGTCCCTTTAGTTTTAACTGTTCTTGCCTTCTGGCAGCTCTGCACATGGACACACTAGGAACAGGCTCCTCCTGTTCTTCTGCCTCTCTGCTGTCCGACTCTGGAGGCTCCGGAGTCCACGTATAACTCCCAGATAGCCCTGGCCCCATCTCTGCCTCCGACGCAGAGCCCTCGTCCGGGCCTCCCCGACTCCAGGACTGGCCCATGGGCCTCCCCAGCCTCCTCACTATCCGACTGCGCTACCAGCTCTGCAGGCTGCTGGCGGACCACGAGAGGTCATCTTGGAAAAGCTGTTTATTGTTCCTTTCCTTTTCGTAATCTCCTCTCCCATAAATTTTGATCTACATATCCACAGAGCCCTCTTCTGTTTGTTTTTTTTCTCCCAACCTGACTTCTCCCAGAATTTGGCAACTTGTTCCAGCAGGCAGAACATTTCCTAGAATGGTGACAAAAACGATTAAAAGAAGGGAAAAAAAAAAAAAAAAGAAGGAGGAAAAACTTACTTGGAAAAATTAAACTTAGGGAAACGGATGCTGTTCTTAACGTAAACCGTGAAATTCTCCGCATCGGCCAGAAGAGCTGATCTTAAAAATGAATAAATAGATTGGTTAAGTGAATTCTTTCAGAACAGAAATAGAAATAGAAATAGAAATAATAGAAATAGAAAAAATAGAAATAGAAAAAATAGAAATAGAAATAAATAGAAATAGAAATAAATAGAAATAGAAATAATAGAAATAGAAATAATAGAAATAGAAATAGATAGAAATAGAAATAATAGAAATAGAAATAAATAGAAATAATAGAAATAGAAATAATAGAAATAGAAATAAATAGAAATAGAAATAATAGAAATAGAAATAAATAGAAATAGAAATAATAGAAATAGAAATAGAAATAGAAAATAGAAATAGAAATAGAAATAATAGAGATAGAAATAATAATAGAAATAGAAATAAATAGAAATAATAGAAACAGAAATAGAAATAAATTAGAAATAGAAATAAATAGAAATAATAGAAATAGAAATAGAAATAGAAATAAATAGAAATAGAAATAATAGAAATAGAAATAGAAATAATAGTAATAGAAATAGAAATAATAGAAATAGGAATAGGAATAGGAATAGATATAACAGAGTTGGAAGGGACCTTAGAGGTCTTCTAGTCCAACCCCCTGCTCAGGCAGGAAACCCTACACCACTTCAGACAAATAGTTGTCCAACATCTTCTTAAAAAATTCCAGTGATGGAGCATTTACAACCTCTGGTGGCAAGCTGTTCCACTGGTTAATTGTTCTAACTGTTAGGAAATTTCTCCTTAGTTCTAGGTTGCTTCTCCCCTGGTTTCTATCTATTGATCCTTGTCCAGTAGACTTACAGTGATGTCACAAAGAGGTCAAATCCGTTATATGAGTAGTCCTTGACTTACAACGATGAATTCAACAATTGTTCGAAGTTACAGAATCCTGGGGTCACGTGATCACTACCTGCAACCTTCCCTGCTGGCTTCTGACAAGCAAAGATAATGGGGAAGCTGGATTTGCTTAGCAACTGCAGTGATTCACTTAACAACCGTAGGGGGGAAAAAAGGCCATAAAATCAGGCACGTCTCTCTCTCTCTCTCTTAACAACCGTCTCGCTCAGCAACAGAAGTTCTGAAATTATTTGTGGTCGTAAATCAACTTCCTGATGTTTCCATATCACGATGGAATCACGGACGCAGAGACGGTGGGCTCCCCTTTTTAGGTTCAAACGGAGGGCTTGCGTGCCATTTCTCACAGATGCTTTAACTTGAATTCTATACTGAGTGAGGGGTTGACTAGATGACCTCAAGGGACCCTCCCAATTCTAGCCTTCAAGGCCTCAGCTTCTATGGAAAAGAAGTTTTTTTTGTGGGTTTTTTTTTCCCCGAACTCACTTTGTTTTGTCTTTCTTCTCCACCGGGCACCAAGCTAGGATTTCGCACGTCCCACTGATATTATTCCCCATTTTTATACATATTCCGGTCTTGATACCTGTAGGAGCGAAGGAAAGGATTAGAAAAACGTCAGCCAGGTTATAATTTTGTGAATCGCTGGAATAATTTTTCAGGTGGGCTCGGGAGGAGGGATAATGGCAGGCACGGTGCCAGAGAGGTCACAAAAGTCAAGATGGCGGTCGCAACCGAACACACTACACACGGCAAATGGGTGGAGTTGTAAATTCACCTTTGCAAAGTCTATTTTGAGGTGGGTTTGGGAGTTTTTTTGCAAAAAGGTTTTTATTTTTTTTTCCAAACATACAAATTACATCCTTTCGGAACAGAGCTTTGATCCGGTCATCACGGATCGTGGCTGATCCCAATGAGGAGGAGGCTGGTGTGGTGTCGCGCCAGCAGCCTGTGCAGCCAGCGCTCACGTCGGACAGCGAGGAGGCCGAAGAGGATGTGGTGCCAGAGGCAGAGACTCAGCCAGGGCCTTCAGAACCTCCAGAGGCTCCTTCAAGTGGAGAGAGTGAAGTGGAGGAGCCTCTCCTCAATGCTCGGGCACGCAGGGCTGCCAAAAGGCAGGAGTGGCTACTCAGGAGGAGGAGGTCTCCTCGAGAGTAAGGCTTGAGGATAATTGGCCATTCCCTTAGCCTATTTAAGTCACACACCGTTAGTAAGTTTCTTGCTGGAAACAACTTGTATTATTATCAGAGTATTTTGGTTTATCATATCTTGTTTTCTGGGCTGGTTGCCAACCTTTGCCAGTCTTTTTTATTCTTCTTACTTCATAAATTTGATAAGGACCATTGGTGTGTGTCAATATCCTCAGAAATCCGGAGCTGGGGCAGAACAGTACCTCAGTTCAAAAATTGTTGCCTTACGATGCACCGTTTTGCCCAGTTAAAGGTTACAAACAGACAGACACGAGAGTTTTAGTTGCATTTAGAAGAGGAATGGGAAAATTTTGGTGGTGAGGACAGGAATATCTCTCTTTGCAGCTTGGAAAAAAGTGTCAGGTTTAGGAAGTAAGGAAAGGCTAAAATTATCCTTTGGAAAAACAATTTTAAAGCCCCTTCAAATCCACCCAAGGAAAATGTCTGTGGAGATTCGCAGCCATCCAGATCAAGGTGCTTTTTTCAAGAGGCAAATGGAATTTCTTTGTTTTTTTCTTTTGAAGACGTTTCGCTTCTCATCCAAGAAGCTTCTTCAGCTCTGACCGAATGGCGGGGAATGGAAGGATTTACACTCCTTGCAGACAGCTGGTCATTTGCATCCTTTTAGGAAGGCCTTGAGGCCACTTGGAATTTATCTGTCCTCAGGATCACCTGAGTGGTGCAAATGGGTGTGGAGCCTTCTTGGAACTGCTGAAAGGATTATTATTATTATTATTATTATTATTATTATTATTATTATTATTATTATTTATTGAATTTGTATACCGCCCTACTCCCGAAGGACTTAGGGCAGTGAACAGCCAAATAAAATACATATAATACAAATGTTTAAAAACCATTAAAATACAATTAAATAATTGGCCCGGAAAACAAAATTTAAAACACCCCAAATTCATAAGACAAATTTAAAATTTAAAAACTTTAAAAGTTTTGAAAAAACAGTTTAAAAGAGAGGTTAGGCCAGGCCGGCCTGCTGGAAAAGAAATGTTTTGATGGCGGCGGAAAGCGCGCAGGTCTGGATCCTCCGTATCTCCGGGGGGAGCTTGTTCCAGATGGCGGGTGCCCCCACAGAGAAGGCTCTCCCCCTGGGGGCCGCCAGTCGACATTGTTTGGCCGACGGCACTCTGAGAAGCCCCTCTCTATGGGAGCGTACTGGTCGGTGAGAGGCTACCGGTGACAGAAGGCGGTCTCGTAGATACCCCGGTCCTAAGCCATGGAGCGCTCTAAAGGTGGTAACCAAAACCTTGAAGCGCACCCGGAAGACCACCGGGAGCCAGTGCAGCTCGCGCAGGAGGGGGGGGTCACATGGGAGCGCCCCATCGCTCCCATAACCACCCGCGCGGCCGCATTCTGGACCAGCTGGAGCCTCCGGGTGCTCCTCAAGGGGAGCCCCATGTAGAGAGCATTGTAGTAGTCCAGGCGGGAAGTGACGAGGGCATGAGTGACGGTATTTAACGAGTCCCGTTCCAGAAAGGGACACAACTGGCGATTGTGTTATAGAAAACTCCACACCCATTGATTGGGCCCTGAGGACACAGACAAACCTCCGAGTGGCCTCAACGACCCTCTAAAAGGATGCAAATGACCAGCTGTCTGCAAGGAACGTAAATCCTTCCATCCCCCCACCATCCAGTCAGAGCGGAAGAAGCTTCTTGGAGGAGAAGTGAAACATCTTCAAAGAAAAACCAGAAAGTCCAGTTGCCTCTTGAAAAAAAAAACAAAAACCAAAACTTAATGTTATTTACATCTTTTGTTTATCACCTGGCACTCTTCTTTTTTTTCCCCACCTTTGCAAAGTCAGCTTAATTTTCCCATTTGTTTAAAAAAAAAATATTGTTATTTGAAAAAATGCCAAAGAGAACAATTGGCCCCCTTAATCCTATAATTAGCAAAAATAGGAATGACTAATCCTCCTAGGGGAATGAAGAGCGCAGAGGGATTTCAAACACTTGGCTGTTGCTTTTTGCAGTAATTGATTTTAATTAATTACGTTATTGAGAGGTGCTGTTTGATTTTTTTTTTAGCAGAGGAGTTTTTAATCTTGTTGCAAAGCTTCATTTATCCTCTCTACTTACCCTGAAGTGGCATTGTTCACTTCGATGTTTTAATCCTGTGTTAGGATATGGTTTGAGCCTAACAAGTTGTCCAGGCAATATATGCGTTCTGTGACTTTAATATGAATATGTATTATGTGACTTTAATTAGATAATCACTGGTTGTAAACATATTTAAGAAAGGTACTGTAAAGTATTCAGTTGATGATATGTTACCATTGTGTGTGGATTTGCTACCATTGTGCTATCATCGGTTGGATGGATCTGCTACCATCGTGGTTTGTTACCAGAGTGAACTTGTTATTCTAACCAACTACTGTTTGTGTGGTAAGAAGATTTTTGTATCACTGGACTGATTTAACTGGCAAAGACTTGGATTGATTTAAAAGACTATGAGATTGTTTTTTCACTATAAAGTAAACTTTTGATAAACCAGTTTGCACATCTCTTATTCATTGCTCTCAGCAACGTTTCTCTGTGCTCTACACTCTGCTGGTTGGTAACACAACAACAATATCCTTAACATCCTGCATATCGAAGTTGCTGTGACTGAATGCAGCTGGTGAGATTTCACAGGTATTCCTTGACTTACGACTCAACATTTCAGTCCAAAGTTTATGTGGCTAAGCGAAACATCTGTTAAGTGAGGTTCGCCCTATTTTACGACTTTTCATGCCATGGTTGTTAAATGAATCACTGCAGTTGTTAAGTGAGTCATGCGGTCGTTAAGTGAGTCACGTGGTCATTTGCTTAGCAAAAGGGGATCAAGTGACCCCCGGGGGCACTGCAACTGTCATAATTATGAGTCAGTTGCCAAGCGTCTAATTTTGATCACGTTGCTGCAACAGTTGTGTGAGAAACGGTCATAACCTAAGTCACTTTTTTTCAGTGCCATTGTAACTTTGTGGTCACTAAACAAACTGTTGTTAAGTCAAGGACTACCTGTAATTCCATAAGGAGCGACAATAGTAATAAAAAAAAGGGAGAAAAATTACAAAATGCAAAGACCTGCAAAGAGAAGGAGAACGACTATGGCAAAAGAAAGCAAAGAATCAGAATTGGAATCAGAATAGAGCTGGAAGGGATCTTGGAGGTCTTCTAGTCCAGCCCCCTGCTAAATACGACTTCAGTAACAGAGTTGTCAACACCAGGAATGAATTGGATGAGATCCCAAAACATCTGGAACGCTCCTGGAACATCATCGGCATTGACAAAATCCTTTTCAGTCAATTGCAAGAGGCAGCTTTGCTTGGAACAGCTTACATCCTGCCACGAAAGCTTTCATATTATTAAACAACAACCTCTGGCTACCCCAGGTGCTTGGGAAAGACTTGATAGGTGGTGTTCTGTCCCCGTACCACACACGCACCCCCACGGACGGCCCGGAGTTAATAAGCCACACGACAAAACTCTTTGAAGATAAAACTGGCAGCAACCCAGTGGCTAGCTGCCAATTCAGACTTTACTCACACAAAACAAAGATTAGACTGCCAGCATTCCGATAAAGCAGGCAGAGTTTCAACAATACAAGGATTAATCCAAATGCAGTCCGATAAAGCAGGCAAAATCCAGTAACGCAGAGATCATGGATTATTTCTAGTTTTTGCTCGTCACAAACTGAACCGGCCACCACACCCACATTTATACCCTGTGGGGTGTGGTCCAGTGACTCAGCTAATCTCTGGCACGCCTTCCCCTCTGCTGCGCACGCTTCTCCCTGCGTCTCTGGCGAGGGTCCAGCCAGCACTTATCTCCTTCGTCGCTGTCCACCTGTGGCTGCGGGGACGTGCTTGGCTCTGAGCCTATCTTTTGGCCTTCGGTGTCCTCCAGAGGCATTGCCAGAGAGGAGGGTCCTGGAGAGGGAGGCCTTGCCAACTCCTCTCCCTCACTCTCAGAGTCTGCATCTGTTGATAGCCCAGGCTCAGGCAACGGAGCCACAACAGGTGGACAAAAAGGGCAAATCCAGTCTAAACATCTATCTGGTTGACTGGGTAAGCACCCCTTGAACACCATCGGAATTGACAAATTCACCATCAGTCAATTGCAAAGGGTAGCTTTGCTTGGAACAGCTGACATCCTGCCATGAGACCTCTAGCACCCTCAAACATCCACATCTGGCTATCCCAGGTCTCTTGGAAAGGACTGGATAGGTGGACAAAAATGCCAAATGCAGTCTGAGGAAAAGGTAAAGGTTCCCCTGGCACATATGTGCTAGTCGTTCCTGACTCTAGGGGGCGGTGCTCATCTCCGTTTCAAAGCCGAAGAGCCAGCGCTGTCCGAAGACGTCTCCGTGGTCATGTGGCCGGCATGACTCAATGCCAAAGGCGCACAGAACGCTGTTCCCTTCCCACCAAAGGTGGTTTCTATTTTTTTCTACTTGCATTTTTTACCTGCTTTCGAACTGCTAGGTTAGCAAAAGCTGGGACAAGTCACGGGAGTTCACCCCATTACGCAGCACTAGGGATTCGAACCACTGAACTGCCAACCTTTCGATCGACAAGCTAAGCGTCTTAGCCACTGAGCCACTGCGTCCCTTATCCCTGACATAGATATTATCAATTTCTTGGATGTATAACTTTTGGGTCACTTTAGCTGTAGTTTCTTACTTTCTTTCCAGCTTAATTTGAATATTAATATTTGAGGTTGACACTTAATAAAGACTTTATTAAAAAAATAAAAAATGCAGTCTGAACATCTGGCTAAATGTGCAACGAACGATCATCATCAGAATAAATCACCATCGGTCTATTGCAAACGGCAGCTTGACCTGGGTTAGATTAAATTCTGCAAAGAGACCTATAATATTATTAAACATCAACATCTGGCTATCCAGATGTCAAATTAATGCCAAATTAAATCTAGCTGACTATGCCATGAAACATCCTCATTATAATAAACCACCATCGGTCAATTGCAAAAGACAGATTGACTTGGAATAATTCTGGAGCAAGAACTATAATATTATTAAACGAGAACATGTAAATTTTAACAGTAACAGAGTTGGAAGGGACCTTGGAGGTCATCCACTCCAACCCCCTCCTCATGCAGGAGATCTGTACTAGGGATTCGAACCGCTGAACTGCCGACCTTTCCGATCGACAAGCTCAGTGTCTTAGCCACTGAGCCTCCTCATCAGGCTAATCTGTGCCTATCTTAAATTCTCGGAAGGACTCAGTGAGTAGATAAAAATGCCAAATCTATGTGAAATAATATTTAATAGCAATTATACCGTTGCCGGCTATCACGGCTTCTCCGCGAGGACAGTCGTTGTCACGGTAACACAAGGCATCTGGAATACCGGGGTTCTGGAGGAGACAGGAAGAACAAAATCATCTTTTTAAAGTCTTAACTCAAGATTGGAAGTCAACTGGAATTCTTCCAGGATCATACTTTACAGGGGAGGATGGGATATAAACCTGAACCCTGATGTTGCCTCCTTCTCATGAAGAACCACTAAAGAAACTCGGTTTGTTTGGCTCAAGGTTTCTAAAGCTTGGCCACTTTTAAGATGAGTGAACTCCAATTCCCAGAATTCCTCCGTTGGCAATGCCATATCTATCTATCTATCTATCTATCTATCTATCTATCTATCTATCTATCTATTCTGCCCCAGCTCCGGATTCCCAAGGATTGTGACACACACCAACGGTCCTTATCAAAGTTATAACGTACCAAGAATAAACAAAGTCTGGCAAAGGTTGGCAACCAGCCCAGAAAACAAGATACGATAAGACACTCACTCTCCAAAATGCTCTGTAATAATTACACGTTGTTTCCAGCAAGAAATTACTAACTGCATGCGACTTAAATAGGCTAAGGGAGTGGCCAATTATCCTCAAGCCTTACTCTCGAGGAGACCTCCTCCTCCTGAGTAGCCACTCCTGCCTTCTGGCAGCCCTTCGTGCCCGAGCATTGAGGAGAGGCTCCTCCACTTCGCTCTCTGCACTTGAAGGAGCCTCTGGAGGTTCTGAAGGCCCTGGCTGAGTCTCTGCCTCTGGCATCACATCCTCTTCGGCCTCTTCACTGTCCGACGCGAGCCTCGGCTGCACAGGCTGCTGGCGCGACACCACACCAGCCTCCTCCTCATTGGGATCAGCCACGATCCGCACAGGCTGCTGGTGGGTCACAACTCTATCTATCTATCTATCTATCTATCTATCTATCTATCTATCTATCTATCTATCTATCTATCTATCTTTCTATCTATCTATCTATCTATCTATCTATCTATCTATCTATCTTTCTATCTACCTACCTACCTACCTACCTACCTACCTACCTACCTACCTACCTACGTACCCAGGGGTGAAATCCAGCAGGTTCTGACAGTTTCTGGAGAACCGGTAGTGGAAATTTTGAGTAGTTTGGAGAACCGGCAAATACCACCTCTGGCTGGCCCCAGAGTGGGGTGGGAATGGGGATTTTGCAATATCCTTCCACTGGAGTGGGGTGGGAATTGAGATTTTATAGTATCTTTCCACAAGAAGTGGAGAGGGAACGTTGATTTTGCAGAATCCTTCCCCTGGAGTGGGGAGGGAATGGGGATTTTGCAGTATCCTTCCCCTGGAGTGGGGAGGGAATGGGGATTTTGCAGTATCCTTCCCCTGCCATGTCCACCAAGCCACACCCAGTGGCCAGTTCGCACCACTTCAGGAGAACCGGTTGTTAACTTTCTGAGCAGTTTGGCAAACTTGGTTGTTGGAAGAAATCATTAGGGCAGAGAACTGGTTGTTAAATTACTTGAATCCCACCACTGGCCACACCCACCAAGCCACGTCCACAGAACCGGTAGTAAAAAATGTTGAATTTCACCACTGAACCTACCTACCGATTATCTCTATCTATCTGTATTTTGTATCTATCTATCTAGAATAGAATAGAATAGAATAGAATAGAATAGAATAGAATAGAATAGAATAGAATAGAATAGAATAACAGAGTGGGAAGGGACCTTGGAGGTCTTCTAGTCCAACCCCCTGCTTAGGCAGGAAACCCTACACCACTTCAGACAAATGGTTATCCAACATCTTCTTTAAAACTTCTAGTGTTGGACATTCACAACTTCTGGTGGCAAGCTGTTCCACTGATTAATTGTTCTCACTGTCAGGAAATTTCTCCTTAGTTCCAGGTTGCTTCTCTCCTTGATTAGTTTCCACCCATCGCTTCTTGTTCTGCCCTCAGGTGCTTTGGAGAATAGCTTCACTCCCTCTTCTTTGGGGCAGCCCCTGAGATATTGAAACACTGCTATCATGTCTCTCTTAGTCCTTCTTTTCATTAAACTAGACATACCCAATTCCTGCAACTGTTCTTCATATGTTTTAGCCTCCAGTCCCTGAATCATCTTTGTTGCTCTTCTTTCTAGAGTCTACCTGTATTATTCCCCCATCTCTCTCTGTTATCTATTAGATAGATGATAGTTAGATAGATTATGTATCTATCTATTATCTATCTGTCTCTATTTTCTATATCTATTCTCTCTCTATTTTGTTTATTTTTTTCTACCGTATCTCTCTCTCTCTCTCTTTTTCTCTCATATCTATTTATATCATATATCAAATTTACTGATCGCCCATCTTACCACAGGGTAACTCTTGATGACATAACAGTATTAAAACAATAAAACTATATCAACAGAATGCTACAAAACTATAAAAATACAAAATATAGCTAAAAGATGCAAAGGGTGGAAGTAGGATGAGTCAAGTGGGAGGATCTGATATTTAACAGATGCTTAGCAACCGTCTCACTTAGCAACAGAAATCTGGGGCTCCATTCTGGTCGTAAGTCGAGGACTCCCTGCACAGTATTTGCAGTTCTGACTCCGAGAGAGAAGGGCGGTTAAGAAATGTGAAATATAAATAAATAAATTCCAAAGGAGGGGGAAAAAATGATCCTGAAATATTGTAAGCATCCATTTATCATCCTTAGCTTTTCCTCTTGTGATTATTCAGGCTAAAGAGCAATTCTCCGCTCCAAATCTCCCAGAGCCGAACATTGTATTATTTATAGCTTCCTTGGCATCACATTAAATTGATCGGACCTCCTAAATGGCCTTGACCAAAGGCAAAACACCAATAAATATTTGTACCAAGCGGCCAAGAGCAATACAATCATATAATGTTTGTTTTTTTTTCCCTCCCTCCATCAAACTCAAAAAGACACCTTGAACAAAATCACTGCCTTTCCTTTCCTTCCATAATGTAAGAGAAAGACTTAGCACGTCCCAGTCTTATCAGGCTGGAACATTTTGTGACAGAATGACAGAATGGAAGGGACCTTGGAGGTCTTCTAGTCCAGCCCCCTGCTCAAACAGGAGACACTCTTTAACATTTAAGACAAAAGGTTGTCCAGTCTTTTCTTAAATAAGAATAGAATAGAATAGAATAGAATAGAATAGAATAGAATAGAATAGAATAGAATAGAATAATAGAAGAGAAGAGAAGAGAACAGGAGAGAACAATAGAATAGAATAGAATAGAATAGAATAGAATAGAATAGAATAGAATAGAATAGAATAGAATAGAATAGAATATAGAAGAGAAGAGAAGAGAACAGGAGAGAATAGAATAGAATAGAATAGAATAGAATAGAATAGAATAGAATAGAAATATTAATAAGAATAGAATAGAATAGAATAGAATAATAGAAGAGAAGAGAAGAGAAGAGAACAGGAGAGAATAGAATAGAATAGAATAGAATAGAATAGAATAGAATAGAATAGAATAGAATAATAGAAGAGAAGAGAAGAGAAGAGAACAGGAGAGAATAGAATAGAATAGAATAGAATAGAATAGAATAGAATAGAATAGAATAGAATAGAATAGAATAGAATAGAATAGAATAGAATAGAATAATAGAAGAGAAGAGAAGAGAACAGGAGAGAATAGAATAGAGCAGAGCAGAGTAGAGCAGAGCAGAGCAATAAAATAGATGGAAGGGACCTTGGAGGTCTTCTAGTCCAACCCTCTGCTTAGGCAGGAAACCCTACACCACTTCAGACAAATGGCTATCCAATCTCTTCTTTAAAACTTCCAGTGTTGGAGCACCCACAACTTCTGGTGGCCAGCTGTTCCACTGGTTAATTGTTCTCACTGTCAGGAAATCCCTTCTTCGTTGTAGGTTGCTTCTCTCCTTGATTAGTTTCCACCCGTTGCTTCTTCTCCTGCCTTCAGGTGCTTTGGAGAATAGCTTGCCCCCTAAATCTTCTCCGTGGCCACCCCTCAGATATTGGAAGACTGTTATCATGTCACCCCTAGCCGCCCTGGAAACAGTGAAGGACCAGCCCGGGGTGCCTCTGCCAGTGAAAACGGAGCATGGGAGGGTCGCGTATAATAATAATAATTTTTTTAAAAAAAATAATTTTATTTCTATTTTTAGTATAGCCCTCCTGAGCTCCGTTTTTTGCTGGCTGAAGGTTGCAGGAGGCCGTCAGAGCTGCAAACGGAGCTCAGGACCCCGTTTTCGTTGGCTGAGCAGTAGGGCCACCACCTGAGCCCCTGATGAGTGACATCAAGCTGGCCACGCCCACCTCCAGCCCCCCCGAAGGTCAAACACAACCCTAATGTGGCCCTCAATGGAATCAAGTTTGACACCCCTGGATTACAAGACCTCCAAGATTCATCATGTATTCCTTTCTTGTTTTGAACCTGGGTTACCCGAATATCCCTCTCTCCTGGGATCTAATGCTCCTCACTCTTTGCACACTCAGTCCTTCCGCTTGCAAGGAAGACGTTTCCTTGCACACCTGTGACCCTGGCCAATATGAGTCCCATCTTACCTCAGGGCAGGTATCTTGCCGCTGGTTGGGGGTGATGATCAGATTGGTCATCACGAAAAAAACACTTTCGCCCTAAAGAGAGGGAAGAAATTAGGGGAAAAAAGTTTGAGAATTTTGCGAGAAAAAGAAGGAAGGGGAGGAAGGAAGGAAGGAAGGAAGGAAAGAAGGAAGGAAGGAAGGAAAGATAAGGAAGTGAGAAGGAAGGAAGGAGGGAAGGAGGGAGGGAGGGAAGGAAGGAAGGATGAAATGAGAAGGAAGGGAAGGAAAGGAGGAAGAAGGAAGGAAGGAAGAATGAAATGAGAAGGAAGGGAAGGGAGGAAAGAAGGAAGGAAGGAATGGAAGATAAGGAAGTGAGAAGGAAGGAAGGGAAGGAAGGAAGAATGGGGAGGGAGGAAGGGAGGAAGGGAGGAAGGAAGGAAGGGGTGGAAGATGAAGGGAGAAGGAAGGGAAGGAAGGAAGGAGAGAGAAGGGAGGATGAGAAAGTGAGAAAGGAAGATGAGAAAGTGGGAAAGAAGGAAGGAAGGAAGGAAAGATAAGGAAGTGAGAAGGAAGGAAGGAGGGAGGGAAGGAAGGAAGGAAGGAAGGATGAAATGAGAAGGAAGGGAAGGGAGGAAGGAAGGGAGGAAGGAAGGAAGGAAGGAAGGAAGGAAGGAATGGAAGATAAGGAAGTGAGAAGGAAGGAAGGGAAGGAAGGAAGGAAGAATGGGGAGGGAGGGAGGGAGGAAGGAAGGAAGGAAGGGGTGGAAGATGAAGGGAGAAGGAAGGGAAGGAAGGAAGGAGAGAGAAGGGAGGAAGATGAGAAAGTGAGAAAGGAAGATGAGAAAGTGGGAAGGAAGGAAGGAAGGAAGGAAAGATAAGGAAGTGAGAAGGAAAGAAGGAAGGAGGGAAGGAAGGAAGGAAGGAAAGATGAAATGAGAAAGGGAAGGGAAGGAAGGAAGGATAGAAGGAAGGATAGAAGGAAGGAAGGATGAAATGAGAAGGAAGGGAAGGGAGGAAGGAAGGAAGGAATGGAAGATAAGGAAGTGAGAAGAAGGAAGGAAAGGAAGGAAGGGAAGGGAAGGAAGAATGGGAAGGGAGGGAGAGAGGAAGGAAGGTGTGGAAGATGAAGGGAGAAGGAAGGGAAGGAAGGAAGGAGAGAGAAGGGAGGAAGATGAGAAAGTGGGAAAGGAAGATGAGAAAGTGGGAAGGAAGGAAGGAGGAAGGAAGGAAGGAAGGAAGGAAGGAAGGAAGGAAGGAAGGAAGGAATTAATCTGTGGCATTTTGCAGAAAGCCCGGAAAATTTTTCTCTTCTATTTTGAGCCATCGGAAAACCTCAGCCAGTCAAAACACACAACCCTTCCCTCATCCTGGACTTCTCAAAGAGATCAGGCCATTTATCCCCATCTGGCTGGGAATGATGGACCCTGGAATCCAAGCCTTAAAGGGACAACGTGTTTTGGAGAGATTTGGAGGAGCCAGTGCAGAGGAGGTGAAGCAGGGGTAGCTCCTGACCCAATATTAAGAAATCTGCAGAGAAAGCAGTGAGTTTTTCAGTCCCTTCTGTTTCTCTTAGCAACAGGTCCCTTAGCAACCAACTTCAAGATGGATGGACTTCAACTCCCAGAATTCCCAGCCAGCATGGCTGGCTGGGGAATTCTGGGAGTTGAAGTCCACCCATCTTCAAGTATTGAAGCCGATGTGGACCATGGGCAGTGAGCCCCACCACAAGTCATCCTCGACTTACAAACAGTTCATTTAGTGACCACTCGAAGTCACAACAACCCTGAAAACAAGAGGACCATTTCCCACACTTAACGACCGTTGCAGCATCCCCCTGCGGTCACGTGATCAAAATTCAAGGCCCTTGACACCAACTGACTCGTATTTATGACGGTTTCAGCCTCCCGGGATGACGTTGATTCCCCTTTTGCGTCCTCCTGACAAGGAGAGTCAAGGGGGAAGCCTGATTCACTTAACAGCCGTGCGACGTACTTAACAACGGCAGTGATTCACTTAACAACGGTGGCCAGAAAGGCCGTAAAGTGAGGCAGAACTCACTCAACAACTGTCTCGCTTAGCCACAGAAATCGTGGGCAGAGTTGTGGTGGGAAGCAGAGGCCTAACTGGTACCTGAGGAGGCATGACGTAGTCCACCACGTCCCAAATCCTTTTGCCCATCTCCGAGGTGTTGGTGAAGGCCACGCCCTTCACCTTGGTGATGACCGAACTCTGGATGGAGGTGTCCACTTCCTGGTACCCTTTCTTGACCATGAAGACCCACCTGGGGAGGTCAAAGGTTAAGCGATTAAAAATAGCCCATGGGTCTGTTGGGGCAAGGGCTGTTTAGAGTTCCTCAGGTTTTGCATTTCAGGAGAGATAATCTTGGCTGGCCTTCAGAAGCTTGGTGGCTTCTCCTTTGGATGTGTTTCAGTAGAGTCCAGTAAAATGTGGGGAGAATTATATTAAGAAAGAAAGAAGAAGAAAGAAAGAGAGAGAGAGGGTGGGCAAGGGAGAGAGAGAAATTAAAAGAGAGAGAGAAAGAAAGAGAGGGAGGGAGGGAGGGAGAGAAATTAAAAAGAAAGAAAGAAAGAAAGAAAAAAGAAAGAAAGAAAAGAAAAAAAGAAAGAAAGAAAGAAAAAAAGAAATGAAGGAGGAAGGGAGAGAGGAAGACAGAAAGACAGAAAGACAAAGAAAGAAAGAGATGAAGGAAGGGAGGGAGGGAGGGAGGAAGAGAGAAAGAAAGAAAGAAAGAAAGAAAAAGAAAGAAAGAAAGAAAGAAAGAAAGAGGAAGGAAGGAAGGAGGAAGGAAGGAAGGAAAGAAAAAAGAAAAAAAGACAAGAAAGAAAGAAAGAAAGAAAGAAAAAGAAAGAAAGAAAGAAAGAAGAGATAGATGAGGGAAGGAAGGGAGAGGGAGGGAGGGAGGAAGAGAGAAAGAAAGAAAGAAAGAAAGAAAGAAAGAAAGAAAGGAAGGAAGGAAGGAAGGAAGGAAGGGAGAGAGGGAGAGAGGAAGAGAGAAAGACAGAAAGACAAAGAAAGAAAGAGATGAAGGAAGCGAGGGAGGGAGGGAGGAAGAGAGAAAGAAAGAAAGAAAGAAAGAAAGAAAGAAAGAAGAAGAAAGAAAGAGAGAGAGAGGGTGGGCAAGGGAGAGAGAGAAATTAAAAGAGAGAGAGAAAGAAAGAGAGGGAGGGAGGGAGGGAGAGAAATTAAAAAGAAAGAAAGAAAGAAAGAAAAAAGAAAGAAAGAAAAAGAAAGAAAGAAAGAAAAAGAAATGAAGGAAGGAGGGAGAGAGGAAGACAGAAAGACAGAAAGACAAAGAAAGAAAGAGATGAAGGAAGGGAGGGAGGGAGGGAGGAAGAGAGAAAGAAGAAAGAAAGAAAGAAAAAAGAAAGAAAGAAAGAAAGAAAGAAAGAGGAAGGAAGGAAGGAAGGAAGGAAGGAAGGAAAGAAAAAAGAAAAAAAGACAAGAAAGAAAGAAAGAAAGAAAGAAAGAAAGAAAGAAAGAAAGAAAGAAAGAAAGATAGAGAGGAAGGAAGGGAGAGGGAGGGAGGGAGGAAGAGAGAAGAAAGAAGAAAGAAAGAAAGAAAGAAAGAAAGAAAGAAGAAAGAAAGGAAGAAGGAAGGAAGGAAGGAAGGAAGGAAGGAAGGGAGAGAGGGAGAGAGGAAGAGAGAAAGACAGAAAGACAAAGAAAGAAAGAGATGAAGGAAGCGAGGGAGGGAGGGAGGAAGAGAGAAAGACAGAAAGAAGAAAGAGAGGAAGGAAGGAAAAAGAAAGAAAAGAAAGAAAAAGAAAGAGAAAAAGAAAAACAAAAGGAAGGGAAGGAAGGGAAGGAAGGAAGGGAGAGAAAGAGAGAAAGAGAGAAAAGAAAGAAAGAGAGGAAAGAAAGAGGAGAAGGAAGGAAGGAAGGAAGGAAGGAAGGAAGGAAGGAAGGAAGGAAAACTAGATGGCCATCTTTCAGGGATGTTGAAATGGTATACCCCAGCCCTGGACAGGGGGTTGGACTAGATGATCTCAAGGTCCTTGCAACCCTCACATTCTATGATTCTGTCTCAGAAGATTTTCCAGATCTAAGATCTGTTCCCTGGTGGAACCGATGCCTCTAGAGAGAATGGACTCTTTTCTGGAGCTGTTTAAACCCAGGCTGGATGATCTTTTGGTGACCTTCGACGTAGACCAGGTTAGGAACCAAGAATTACCGGGTCTCAAATTCATTGTAGAGTTTACAGGTAGTCCTCGACTTAACAACAGTGACCATTCGAAGTTACAAACGCACTGAAAAAAAGTGACTTATGACCATGTTTCACACTTACGAACTTTGAAGCATCTCCACCAGAGGTGGGTATCAGCAGGTTCTGACCAGTTCTGGCGAACCTGTAGCGGAAATTTTGAGTAGTTCGGAGAACCGGTAGTAAAATTTCTGACTGGCCCGCCCCCATCTATTCTCTGCCTCCGGAGTCCCAGCTGATTGGGAGGAAATGGGGATTTCGCAGTATCCTTCCCCGGAGTGGGTGGGAATGGAGATTTTACAGTATCCTTCCCCTGCCACGCCCACCAAGCCACGCCCACAGAACCGGTAGTATATAAATTTGAAACCCACCACTGATCTCCGTGCTCATGTGATTAAAATTCAGAGGCTTGGCAACTGGCTCATATTTATGAATCCCCTCATCATCCTAGTTGCTCTTCTCTGCACTCTGCAACGATTCGCTTAACGACGGTGGCAGGAAATATCGTAGCATGGGGCGAAAACTCACTTAACGACTGTTTTGCTGAGCAGCGGAAATTCGGGACTCCGTTGTGGTCGTAAGTCAAGGACCGCCTACAATTGTGGCATCAAACTCAGGACCTCCAAACCAATCAAGTCTCACTAAAATTTATTATTTATTCGGTATACATTTTCTGGAGGAATTTCACCCCAGAAAATAGTGGAAGGGATTCCAGCAAATAAAGAGATACCGTATTTTTCGGAGTATAAGGCGCACCTACCTTTTTGGTGGGGAAAAGAAGAAAAAGAAATCTCCCTCTGCCTCTGAGCAATTTTGCTTCCTTGCAGCAAACAGCCTGCTTTACTTTCAGTTTCATTTTCAGCATAGCTTGATTAGCACAAGGGGAAAAAAAAAATCTGCTCCAGCAATTTACCTCTTTGCAGCAAGCAGCAGAGCCTGCGCAAAAGAGCTGAGAGCAAATCAGCTGAGAGTCAGGAGGCCGATCTAATCAACTTGTGCTAATTAGGCTGTGCTGAAGCTGAAAGGAGCTGTTTTTTCTTGCTGTTTGCTTGCAAGGAGGTAAACTGCTGCGAGGCAGAGGCCAAAGGGTGGGGGCCCGTGGGTGGGTGGGTCTACATTCGGTGTATAAGGCGCACCTAAATTTTCACCCCTTTTAGGGGGGAAAAGGTGCGTCTTATACTCCGAAAAATACGGTATATTTATTTTCATCCATTACAGGGGAGGAGGGGAAAAAATGATAATAGTCATATAAGTGCATAGGTAATGGATGATGTCAGCATGAATATTCCTCATTAGCAAACTCAAGTTATTTCTCCACCCATCTACTCTTTCTATTCTCAGGAAACAGCTTAGAGGTAGTCCTCGACTACGACAGTTCATTTAGTGACCGTTCGAAGTTACAACGGCACTGAAAAAAAGTGACTTATGACCAGTTCTCACACTTACGACTGTCGCAGCCTCCCAAGGTCACGGGATCAAAATTCGGCCGCTGACTCACATTTATGACGGTTGCAGTGTCCCAGGTCACGGGATCCCCTTTTGCGACCTTCTGACAAGCCAAGTCCGTGGGGAAAGCCGGATTCACTTAACAACCCCGTGACTAACTTAACAACGGCAGTGATTTTTCTTAAAACCGCTGTGGCGAAGAGAGGTCGTAAAACGGGGCAAAACCCATTTAATACCTGTCGCGGAAATTTTGGGCTCGATCGTGGCCGTAAGTCGAGGACTACCGGCATTGTCACAACAAAATTCATTTTTTTTTTTCAATTTTTAATTCATTTTCAATTTTTTTTGTATTTATGTGTTTTATCTCGGGGCTGTTCACCGCCCTGAGTCCTTCGGGAGAAGGGCGGTATGGAAATTTAATAAAATAAAATAAATAAAAATAAATAAATAAAAAAAAGACACAGGTCGGTTGTGGTTTTCATAGCGGAAACCGAGAGCTTTGAGGTGGCCTCAATTAGCGATTAACGTCCCTTCCACGTTTTTCATTTTGCTGAGTCACTCGCTCCTGCCAGCATTTGTCTTCCTCACGTCATGCAGCTCTTTCCATAACTCCCTGATTTAATAAAAGGCCCCAATATTGGATGCTGCATTTCCAACAGAGGTAATGGGGTCTCTGAGCAGATGCAGAGTGTCCCTGCATCTGAATACCTGCAGATCATCTCTAGGCTTCCTTGCCAACTGAGACGGAACAGAGATTTTCCCATCTCTTTAGCTCCACTCACAAGACCACCCTAATCTCTGCTGGGCGGGTGGGGGTGGGTGATACAGGGGTTTCCGGGGTCTCTTAAGGCTTTTTCAGCCCTCAGGCACCCAAAAGAGGCTGGCTGGGACGAGGAAGCTCCCTAGCACTTTTCTATCAAGAGGAAAAAAATGCAGATGATATTTTAAGAGCCCCTCAGGATTCCCTTAGGTGAGATGGGGAGGAAAGGAGGGAGGGAGGGAAGGAGAGCGAGAGAAAAGAAAGAAAGAAAGAAAGAAAGAAAGAAAGAAAGAAAGAAAGAAAGAAAGAAAGAAAGAAAGAAAATGAGAAAGAGGAAGGAGGGAGGGAGAGAGAAAGAAAGAAAAAGGAAAAGGAAGGAAGGAAGAAAGAAAGAAAGAAGGAAGAGGAGGGAGGGAAGAAGGAATAGGAAGAAGTGTGGAGAGAAAAAGGAAGGGAAGGACACAGAGTGGAAGGAAGGAAGAAAGAAAGAAAGAAAAAGAAAGAAAGAAAGAAAGAAGAGGAGAAGGGAGGGAAGAAGGAATAGGAAGGAGTATGGAGAGAAAAAGGAAGGGAAGGACACAGGGTGGAAGGAAGGAAGGAAAGAAAGGAGGAAGGGGGACGGGGAAAGGAAGGAAGGACAGGAAGGAAGGAGTGGGGGGAGAGAAGAGGAAGGAAGGGAAGGATGGAGGGTGGAAGGAAGGAAAGGAGAGGGAGTGAGGAAGGAAGAAAGGAAAGAAGGAGCAGGGAGAAAGAGGATGGGTGGGAAGGAGGGTGGAAGGTAGGAAAGAGAGAAGGACGGGGAGGCGGAAGGAAGGAGAGGGAGGGAAGGACGGAGGATGGAAGGAAGGAAAGAAGGAGAAGGAGGGAAGGAGGGAGGAAGGAAGGAAGGGGAAGGAGAGGGGAGAGAGAGAGGAAGGAAGGAAGGGAAGGACGGAAGATGGAGGGAAGGAAAGAGGAGAGGAGGGAGGAAGGAAGGAAGGAGTGGGGTGAGAGAAAGAGGAAGGAAGGGAAGGACGGAAGGTGGAAGGAAGGAAAGGAGAGGGAGTGAGGAAGGAAGGAAGGAAAGAAGAAGGAGTAGGGAGAAAGAGGATGGGTGGGAAGGAGGGTGGAAGGTAGGAAAGGGAGAAGAAGGGGAGGCGGAAGGAAGGAGAGGGAGGGAAGGACGGAGGGTGGAAGGAAGGAAAGAAGGAGAAGGAGGAGGGAGGAAGGAAGGGGAAGGAGAAGGGAGGAGAGAGGAAGGAAGGGAAGGACGGAAGATAGAAGGAAGGAAAGAAGGAGAGGAGGATGGGAAGGGAGGAAGGAAGGGGAAGGAGTGGGGAGAGAGAGAGAGTAAGGAAGGGAAGGAGGAGAGGGAGTGAGGAAGGAAGAAAGGAAAGAAGAAGGCGTAGGGAGTGAAAGAGGGAGGGTGGGAAGGAGGGTGGAAGGTAGGAAAGAAAGAAGGAAGGGGAGGGGAAGGAGAGGGCGGGAGAGAAGAATGGCGGGTGGAAGGAAGGAAAGAAGGAGAAGGAGAGAAAGGAGAAGGAAGGAAGGAAGGAGGAGTAGGGAGAGAAAGAGAGAGGGAGGATGGGAAGGAAGGAAGGACGGAAGGACAATCCACAGAGGAATGTTAAGAGAGGAGAAAGAGAGAGAAGGACCAAAAGAAAGAAAGGAAGACGCTCCACTGAATTCGCACAGCCACCAAATGCAGATAAGCCGAGGTTCTCCTTCTCCCGAGCGAACAGGAAAAACCTGCCTCCCAACCTCTGGAACCAGGAGCTCCTCCGAATGGCACCTGAATGCAGCTTCCAGCTTCCCAAACATCTGTTTTGCACCCAGACCCAATCCAGCCAGCCAGGGAAGGATGGAGACCTGGAGAAAAACCCTCCCCGGTTCAGACTCCCGTCAAGAAAGAAAGACCCACCTCCCAAATTTTCCCCACCTCCCCTTCTCCCCTTCCCACCTTGGCACCTCTCAGGTTGCACCCGGTGCTGCGAATTCCGCCCTCCCCCCATCCCTACCTGCAGAGGAAGCCGAGTTATTCTGCCAAGATAAAAGACCAAGATATCCTCACCCCACGATGTAAATCAGGATGGAGAGCTGGACCACACGGTAGAGAATCCCCACTTTCTTGTTCTTGGCGATGACGTACTTCTCGGTTTTGTAATCAAAAAGCGAGCAGCACAATTCTTTCCAGGCGATCTGGTCCATTTTGGAAGAGGCCGGAACATCAGAGGCGCATCAGATGGATGGATGGATGGATGGATGGATGGGTGGGCGAAGAGATGCGGCGGTGAAGAAGGTGGAGAGGAAACAACCCGCTCTGAGAGAGAGCACGGCAGAAATGCCAGCCTCGTCTAAAATATTGTGCTCTGCTGCAGATCCCCGTGGGGTTAAAATGCCGGCTTTTCAAATGCAAATTCAGAATAGAGCTGGAAGGGACCTCTGGAGGTCTTCTAGTCCAACCCCCTGCTGAGGCAGGAATAAAGTGAATAATGTGAATCATATAATAATGTGAATAATGTGAATGGTATAAGGTCAGCTATATGAACACTGGAGGACTCTCTTTATTCACGTTATTCTAAGAAAGAAAAGTGCTTGTTTAGAAATTACACTAAGTCAGCGAAATTCCATTCTTGGCGACATATATCTTTTGAGGGGCCTATCTGTCAAAGATGCAAGGACCATATATAATATAGATCTTCTGAGGAAGATATCTGTCAAGGATGCAGAGACATCCATCTGAAACAAAAAGTTACTTATTAAGCCATGAATCTACGCATCAGCGGATACAGAACTAAGGAGGATGTTTAGGTAAAATTATCTCATGTACTGTAAATTAAGGCAGGAATTTATTAATTAAAAAGTGTCAATTATCATGTAATGGATGTATGTTAACCATATATGGAAAACTGCTGTGCCAGCAGAATCCTTTGTCTTGGATATGTATAAAAGCAGATGTATCAGAACTCTTCCTTTGTTCAGAATTGCAGATACGAATCTGGTTCTGAAACTGCGCAATAAAACTGTCTCTGGCTGACCCAGGAATGTTGTTTGGTCCCATCATTCCACAACAGGAAGGCCTATACCATTTCAGACAAAGGGTTGTCCAATCCCTTCTTAAAAACCTCCAGTGTTGGAGCACCCACAATTTCTGGTGGCAAGTTGTTCCACTGGTTAATTGTCCTCACTGTTAGGAAATTTCTCCTTAATTCCAGGTTG